AGTGAGCAGTCAGTGAAGCTACTGCCTCTGTTCCCAGGAAAGAGCCAGGCAAGTAATCTTACTGCTACCCAAAAAATGCTGCTTTGTCCTTGTCCTAGAAACAGCTGCTGGTAGCTTAATTGTTGTGCAGACAATACAAGTGGAATGATACAAATAACAGTTCTAATTCAAAAAGGACAGTCCTCAAGTAAAATCAGTGTACCTCACATGCATACCTTTTTTCTCCCTTTAGACTCAAATCTGTATTTCTCCATACAATTGTTGTCATAAACTCTCAAATAATGTTACTGCTTATCTTTCATAGTATTTTCTCTAGGTTTCATGTACTTCTCTAACTGCATATAAAGGAGTCTCATGTTTTTCCCTGTAACAAAAAATTACTATATTCTGAACTTATATTAAAAAAAAAACCAACCTCTAGTGGTTTTATTTACACCATCCAAGATCGCTCTCCTTTGGAATAGAAGGTGAAAATAAAAGAATAAAAGTTTTGCATATATAGTCAAATTAATATGCAACATGAATGTAGTAAATTCTGAAGAGCAAAAATGGTGAATGATCATGCAATCCTTTGATCATTTCTTTCTGTTTCTCTCATACTTAGTTCTTTTATATTTATGAAACAGCAATAAGCCCATGGATGGACTCTTCAACTTCCCTTTTTTCATTCTGCTTCTGTCAGCTGACCTTTACTTCTGGAGCAGATGGACACTTTTTCCATTCTACCTGATCTCATAAATTTTGAAAGACAGTCAGTATTCTTAAAATGAACCAGCAGAGCAGATTCAGCAGTTTTAGTAATATGAATGAGGCAGAGGAGACTTTTGTCTTGTTGGGAGTTAAACAATTTAGGTCAGCCTACAAATGACATTTCTGAATGTCTTGAGCAAAGTTACAAAATAGTTACTTGGGTATATTTGACCTGTATTCATCACACAGTAGTAGTACTAATTATAACTGCTGTTCATTGAAGGCTGCAGCAAAAGATTCCTTACTTTGTGTGGTGTCTGCAATGTCTGTGCTATCTGAACTCCAACACTCATCAAGTGAGGCTAATGAGGCCTCAAAATTAAGAGCTGCCACTTTGCAGGGTGTCAGGACAGTGCAGAGAATGGAGGGTGGGAATAAATTGCTCAGGATTGCTCAAACCAGTGAACAAATATAATGGTGCATTCTGAACCAAGTGCAAGTGCTGCCCTATAGTGAACTCCACAGAAAGGAAATTACAATGATTGAGTCATATGGTCATGAGCATGAAGTTTGCTGTAGTAAGGAGATCGTGAGAAAAATGCCAGAATAGCCTGTGCCATTTTTGTTATTGAAAGAGAATACGTGAGTCAAAAACTGCATTATTGGTGGGAAAAAACAGAATATAGTAATAGTAATTTTTTGTTACAGGGAAAAACATGAGACTCCTTTATCTGCAGTTAGAGTCAAAAACTGCATTATTTGTGGGAGAAAACACCCAAATTCAGAATTTCAAGCAATACCTTAAAACGAGCGTGCATAAAAGAAAAATGAGTAATCTACAGAAAGAAAAAATTTATCATAGCAACTAGTGATGATCTACTTTGTTTATCCTAGATGAGGGTAGCATTTGGAGATTTTAAGAAAACAACAAAATAAGCCATAAATTCATGTTTCGTGTATCGAGAAGCAATTTATTGGCAGCTGCTTCTCATAATTAAGCCTTATTGCTCTTTTTTACCTTCTTTCTATATAAAGTAAGAGAAAAAGGTATTTATAGGCCTAAAAATTTCATTATTTGGGTCACTGTATGAGTATTTCAAAGAGTGTACACCCTATAGTTGTTATGAATGATGATTCCTTTGTGATACCAGATTCTTGAAAAGGGTAAGGAAGGGTGTTACCTTTCATAAGTCTTTAGTAGAAACATTGGATTTCTTTTTTCCTGCTATGTATGCATCATTTCTCATTAAAATTAAGCAGGACATTTTTCTGTGTCTAATTGTGGCATTTTTCATGTGTCTTAATCAAGAATTGCACGAAATTCAAGACATTTAAAGGAGAAATATAGGTGGCAGCAAGCTAAACTGGGAATTTATTTAACACATACTGTTTTAGATGCACACACACATGTAAGCAAAGGTCATAAATCTGCAGCCCTCTTGAGCAATAAGGGAGGGGAAAGAAAATCAATTCTAATCAGGAGACCAGTGCTATACCTCATAATAACAACTTCTCCATACACCTGAGGCACTCAGTAACATTTTGTATAAATTTTAAGTAAAATCTCTTAGTTTTATTCTGTTATAGAACAAGGTGGAAGCAATATAACTTTTTATAGTTTCAGTTCTTTTATTTAGTAGTCTTGGTTTTGTTGTCTCTGTAACCATTAAAATTCAGATTAAATACAAGAGCCATGCACTTCATTTTCACAAGAGTTTAAAAGGTTTGTACAAAAGCAAATATGCTTAAATGATACATTATGTGAGCAATTTTTCTAGGCATCACTGCAATATGGGAATCGGTTTTTTATTTTATTTTCTCAAGTGAATTTTATAAAATTGGATTATATCATTTTTCTTGAACTAACTTGCCTTGTATCTTTGTAATCTAAAGTGAACACAAATTTATGGGAAGAAAATAATTTCCATTTTTGTGGAGTTAATAGAATCATCCAGAAAAACGAACAATTTTATTTCCTCAGCATTTGTTTTTTTCCTATGTCAAAAGTGACCTGTGATATTTTTCATTTAAAAAATTTCATCATCTTCTGTCTTGTAAAAAAAAAAATTCCTATATTTCTAAACCTGTTAGCTGTGTAGACTGGAAGTCTAGCACTTCACAGATTCAATAAATGAACCTGTACATTTTAAATGTTTAAAAGATGTTATTTTAGAATGTGTGGTAGATTTTAGAACTAGGTTTTTTATTCTTTTTAAGTGCAACATGTAAGTGTACCTATGTATTTTTGAACAGTTTAGATTAAGCTTAAGCTTGTCAGTACTGAATTATAGTCAGACTAGCATTGCCATGTCTTTATATGTTTTCTGTCACAAACCTTTTTCCTTCCTTTTTCTTTTTACTGTATTCACAAGTTCCTCTCTTATAAATTGATGAAATTGTACTTCCTAAAACCATAAACAAATAGTTTTCTTCTATATCTAGTACACAATCCTACTATTCTTAGCTTTCCATTTGTATATTGCCCTGTTGTTCCATACATTAAACGATGTAAGCCATCAAATTACAAAGGTATGAAATTTTTAAATTTTGAGGATTTCAGAGCAAGATTCTGCTTTTTAAGCTAAGATTATAATAAAGTGTAATGTTTTTTGTATTGAATAATTGTGTTTTTTGAAAAGTGGATACCTTAATGCATATAAAATAGGCATGTGACACCAACACAGAAAGTTCTAAAAAAGTGAAATTTTTGATGGTTTTTTAATCATTTATTTAAGAAAAGAGCTAATTCATACTTAAATGTTTACACCAAGTTCCAGATATAATCAAGAGCAATCCAAATTTCTGTGTCACAGAAGCAGTTGAAGTGAATTTTCCACAACCTGCTGTGAATTTTGTTGTTGATAATCAATAAAGGCAAACCTTGGTGCATCTGTGCTCTTTATGAAATATTTGGTTCTATTTGTTAGCTCATGAAGAATAAGCTTCATGAACTGCAGGGCCACTTTATCAATTTATTATTTATTCATTTTTAGGCACTACAGCAGTTAATTAAATTTGCCAAAAAGTCATGTGTAGTTTAAAAGCTGAATTTGATTTCCTTTAAACGAATAGTAAATAATTACTGCTAAAGCAGGAAAGATCAGATATTGAAAAGCTGGATAATTGAGAAACTGAGAAATGTGTTTTTCCTACAATATTTTTCTTTTCATGTCCTCCTTTTATAATTGCATTCCCATCTCCCTATTTATTTCTGTGTTTGCAGAGATTTATTGTTCATGTTTGGCAGTTTGCCAGTACTGCGAACCATGTTTTGCTTTGCTTTACCCACTCTGTATCCCATAAATCAACTTTTCGGTGGCTGTGTGTCAGGAAATGGTAAATGTGAAGAGATAACAACATCAACAATAAAAACAATAAAAATCTAATTTTATCTAGAATTAATTCACTCTAATACATACGGCGGAAAATACAGTGAGAGTTAAATACTACTTAACCTTTGTGTGGTTTGGAAAAGTAGAGATTCTCCATGGACAAAGATAAAGAAATCTGGTTTAGAAAAAAATTAGAATTGTCATTACCACAACCCTTTTGGTATCACCTTTAGCAGCAACTGGTTTTGGAAGGCAGTTAGTGCAGCAGGTAGGAATGTGGAAGAGACAGGCAGAAAATCAGAAGCGCTTGTGGCAAATTAGGGAAGTATATTAGTTTTTCATAACTTAGAGGCAGTGTTCAGTGTAGATGAAGCAGGATAAAGCCAGCACCCAGAAATAATGCTCACAGAGCTCATACCCTGCAGGAGGCTGGAGGTTTTGCAGACTGAGATCCCAGGCTCCTGCCTGTGGGAAAGGGAAAATGAGGGGTTTGATTCTGTAACATGAATTTATTGATTCAGGCTGTGCTGCACCCATACAATGGCTGGTGGTGGGGAAGGGTGTCCCCTCCATCATGGTAAGTATAGTGTGTGGCCTGATGCCTCAAGCCTGCCCAAGCTGCCTCCACAGTCTGAAAGAGTTCATTTTAAGGAAAAATGATAAGAGAATTCTCAGTTTCCATGTACTCACTGTTGGTTACCTTGAATCTCCATTTAAGTGCAGCTACACTTCTGTACAAAGATTAAACTTCTTGCAGTCTTTTATAGAATTAAGGGTATTCTCCGGAAAACAAGTATAGACACGATAATTTATAGAAAATCATCACAAACTGGCCTTGATGGAAAGTCCAATCTTAATAGAAATAGTTTCTTTCATATGACTCATAATAATGCCCAATTTTTTCCTGTATTTTTTTCATACCATGCTTCTTGTGCTGTAATTAGAAGTGAATTTAATTGTTATTCTTGCCCACTCCAGGTACAGAGATCCAGAAATAAGCAGCTCCGTGAGCTGTTTCCAGATGGATTTAGTATTCACCACGCGGGAATGCTGCGGCAAGACAGAAGTTTGGTTGAGAACTTGTTTTCTAATGGACATATCAAAGTCTTGGTTTGTACAGCTACACTTGCTTGGGGTGTCAATCTGCCTGCTCATGCTGTTGTTATTAAGGTAAGAGCTTCCCTGCTCTGCAAGCAGTTATCTGTCTTAAAAGAAACCTGTGAAGAAGTATAGATAGCAAGATTTCTTGTGAGTTTTGGGCCTGGAGGGGAAATATCTGATTGACTTGAAATGTTATTTATATCTCATTAAACTGATTCTCTCCAGTGGGAGTCTAGTTTGTATAGTAAAGATTTAAATATATCAAAGATTATGAAAGGATTAGTTAAAGTACACTTGTGAAATCATACTATATTTGCCTAATTTCAGTATTCAGCTCATCAGGATTATATTCATGTGTATTTATGTTAATTTTTATTAACTTTTCCTCAACCAGGGAACACAAATATATGCTGCAAAAAGAGGCTCCTTTGTTGACCTTGGAATTTTAGATGTCATGCAGATATTTGGTCGAGCTGGACGGCCTCAGTTTGACAAATTCGGAGAAGGCATCATTATTACAACTCATGATAAACTCAGTCATTACCTGACTCTTCTTACACAGCAGAACCCAATTGAAAGCCAGTTTCTTGAAAGCCTTGCAGACAACTTAAATGCAGAGGTAACCTTTGATTTGTTTAGAGAAACTAGTAAACTTTAAAGGATTGACATTATTTGAAACAAAAATGCAATATTCTCACACTTAATAAAATTTTCATTGTACATATTTTATTACTGTTAGTGTGTAGGTGTGTATGTTTAAGTGAACTGCTACATATGTGAAAAAGGGGGGTCTTTTACAAAATATAGCAGGTATTCAAAGTAGGATGTAGGGTCAAAATACCATTAAGATAAAACTGTAGCTATGCAGCATTTACCTAATCAGAAGTGATTTTTTAGAATTTAGTAGATGTTCTGCATAACTGAGAAGTAAAATCCACAAAAAAATTAAAGCCTGTCTTTCTGTGTATAACCAAATTCACATATTTAACTGCAGGAAAGGAAGAATAATGGACTTTGCTTTAACTTTTTTTTTTTTTCAAAGGCACAAGACATTTTTTCAGTTAAAGTCAAGCATTTTAGCTAGACTTAAGTCTCCAGTGACATAAAACTGCTTATCATTTTGAAAGATGTGAAGTTTATTTGGTCTATTAAGAATAGCCTTTTGAAGATGCTTGTTATTTTATCTACTCAATTCTTACATATTTGCTTATTTTGTCTTTTCATCACTTTCTCAATTTTCCCATCTCTCCTACCACAAAAAAAAAGAGAAAAAATAAATGGAAGGCATACTTGCATTGGGCAGATATATTGCTCTCAACCATTTCCTTTTGACAATACTTAATGGTCCTGGAAATAGGCACCTCTGAATATTCTCTAAGTGGACCTGGATGGATATTCAGTTATTTAAAACTGCATAGTAGCAACTTACACATTAGCAGTAAAAATTTACTTCCTAAAGTTGGTTGTGTAAGTCAGGAATATTTGTGGTTATTGTTCAGCACCACAATAAGTCAGGAGAGAGTGATCTGGTTTTGGGGTACTGTGTGCCTTTTCAATAGGAAAAAATCCAGCTAGATTTCACAGAAGAGCTTTGTTCTTTTTTTTGAGACACAGAAAGCAGACCGTGAAACAAGGGTTGGGTAGGCTTTCCTTCACAGCAGAGGAGTTTGCTACATTTTATAAAATATTAGGAAGTTAGGCTTTTTTTCTGATTTTGTGTAATGGTAGTAATCTGAAAAGAACAGTGTACTCATGGCTTTAAAATTACCCCAGATTCTATTAAGTGATACAGTTACAAAAGCTGAAGGTGCAATCAGAATTTTGTTAATTACAGTGATAAATGATTGCTAGTAGAAATAGCAATGAAGCACAATAGCATAGCAAGGGCATGAAGGCAACATATGTGACATTACTTGTACTCCTGTCATAACATGCAGGAAAAATTAGTACCTGACAGATTACAGGTAACCAGTACTATGAGCACTGGCAAGGAACTATTGTGACAGCATTTTTTGGAAAGTAACTTCATAACATTTCCTTATAATTGGAGTCAGCCTAAACTTCGGTGTATGCTGATTTGATCTAAGGTAGTGGAATTCTCTGAAAAAGATAGAGATGATTTAGCAGAAATTGTTAAGTTTATCTGGAGATGACTATTCCAATATGCTGCACCATTCTGGAAAAAAAATATGTTTTAAAATATATGCCATCATATGATTAAGTATGTAGTCTTAGGAAGCACATTCAATTTTTGTCATCTTCTGCCCTTTGGTAGTAACAAAGCACTGTATGGATACAAAATATATGGGTTTTGACTGATGTGTTACAGAAATCAAGACACATATGTTGATGACCACTGACAACTTCTCCATAACAGAGCCTGTTGTTAGCACCAGGAGATCTGCACTGATGGATAATAAAACAACATATTGTAGGAGCAGAATCTGCTCTCATTACAAGTAGTTCAGGAAATCCAAATGCTTATTCTCTAGTTGTAAAGAGAAACAAATTAAAGGCCAGAAGCACTGCTGAATTGTTTAAATTCTTAATTTGTTATGGACACACCAATAGCTGAAAGAAGGGCTGATAAAATGGAGGCAGCAGTTGGAAGTATGGAAAGACTTCATGTTTCCACAAGAATATGAAAGTGCTTTTATCTAGACCAGGTCTCTTGGCAGAAATAGGTGAATGTTAAGAATGATTCAGATATTTATGGTAATACAGCATATAATCCTGGCCAAGCAATTGCTAAGTGGAATCCAGGGCCTTGAATTTTGTACCTAGACTTATGTCGTGCCGGAGAGAAAGTTTGGGCAATAGTGCAAAAAATTGCAGCATATATCCGGATAAAAGGTAATTCTCTAGAATCAAGAAATTTTCAGAGAGGATGAGCAAAGAAATAAATCTGTTTCAGTGAAAGGAGCCCACCAATTTTTCTGTATGCTTCAGGAGAGAACAAAACAAATCAAGATTATATGACAGAGTTTTGTGAAGCAATACATGAAGTAATATGGCAAAAGACTGCATCTCTCCTGGGACAAGAACCAGGATGTTTTGGCTGCAATGAGCCAGTGGCAGGTTTAGAAAACAAAATGATGTCAGCTGGGTGGTTAGGCAGTGGAACTCTCTGCAGGGAGCTGTTTCTAAACAGAAAAGTACTTGAAAAACTGTCCATAAATGGAATAAAAATCCATTTAAAGTAACCAAGTACAAAGCCAATACCTTTAACTAAAGACCTTGAGATGCAATTGTTAAATAGTTTGGGAGAAATGTCTATGATGCTTCTTCCTCATTCCTGCATTTTGCCCTTCAGCACTTGCTGTTACCTGACCTCAGAGACAGCTGGTCTTGATGCTTCAGTGCTTTTGTTCTTAGGAGAACTACAGAATGGAGAAACCTGAAATATATCCAACTACATTGAGCTGACACCAAAATTAAGACTTTGAATGTGTAGATCAGCATGTCAGTCTGCTATTAATTCTCTTCTGCAGATCTGAGGTTTGCTTTGGTTTTGTGGGGTTTTTTCCTCCTAAAAATTAGCAGAATAGTAAATAAGTGATCATCAACGAAGGCACGGAGATGCCCTTTTCCTTTTTTTGCTGAGATTTTGCCAGTGGGCATAATAGGATGTAAAAAGGAATACAACAGCTAGTTAAGGTACTAAGTTGAGAGGAGCAAGTCCTGGGGCAGTTGACCAGCTGGCAAACAGAAAATACCTATGGCTGTCTTTTCTGGAAATACAGGAAGAAAGATAAGATGCAGGGGATGTGGTTTAATTGGACCATAAACTTTAACTTATCTGGGAACTATCATCAATAGCTCATACAATGCAGGTCACCATTCCTTCCCTAATGGTTTCCACCTGAAGGAGCCCTCCCTGACAGCCACAGCTGGACTCCAGCTTGTTTGCTGGGATGACTCCTTTCCCCAGAGAGCTTAGGAAATGATTTGCAGTGCTGGACAGTGGGCATACCTTCCCCAGGGTGTGTGCCTTCACTTGCATATGCTTGTGATTTTCCTCTGAAGACAGGAATGTAGAACCTGGTGGCTTTTTCAATCTGGACAAACCTCTTAATCTTTTGCCTTGAAAGAAAGGGTTTTCAGAAGAGAAGAAAAATTCCTTCAGAGTCCTTCCTAAAAAAAAATCACTCAGGAGCTGGATGACACAATGGCTGATCTGGGTATGGGGCAAAGCACAGGAGATTCTGTCTGACTTGGGACAATTCTAGTAGCAATAATTATTTCAAAAGCTTCACAGGACTAAGACCATAGTCCTATGGGGCTGAAATAGTAATTTAAAATCCACTGGTTTCCAAAGGAAACAGAAAATTGCTTATTTGGTTATAAGAAAGGTTCCTTGCTCTCTTACCTTACCAACAAATATTTTATATATATATACTGAAATTTTTCTTTATGTAATCAGACTCAATTATACAACAACAACAGACAGTATATTTGTAAATAGGCACATGTGTGTAAAAAAGAATGTATTATGCTATATAATAAGTTCAGTATATATTATGGGTAATATTTTTATGCCATTTTCTAATCATCAGAAATATCAGAGAAAAAAACCTCATTTTTCAAGAGCTGCCCCCCAAAAGCCATGCTACTTATATCTGTTTACACTTTTTTGCATATCAAAACCACCTCCTCTGAAATATCATTCAACTTGATAAAGTTTGTGGTGTAGCATTTGTAAAAAAAAAAGGAGGGCAAAAAGAAAATAAATGACAATAAATGCTGCTAAGCATGTTGCTCAATGATGGCAATGTCAGTCACTGCAAAATTAGTTAAATTTGTGTGATGCTGCTTATTGCTGTAATTTAAAATTACACAGTGAGTTGGAAAAAAATAGTACTTAAAACTGCATTCTGTGAGTGATTAAACACCATTATTACATTTGAGCTGTGAAAAATCAAAATTGCTTTATGAAAACTGGTGCAATTGGACAATACAATGTCAAGATAGTAAATATTTCTACTCACCAATTATTCCATCTGTAACTGAATGTCTAATACACCATTGAGGAAATGCTGGAAACTTGAATCATTCATACTGTTTCATGTAGGATAAATTTTCAGTGCCTAAGAACTTTACTTGAACACTAGATGGCAGCAAATATTTAGAAATTACTCTGGGGTTTTTTTGACTGCATATTATTGAATTTGTGGGAAGAAGGAAAGCACAATATTAGATTTTTCAGTGCCATATCTGAAACCCAACTGTATTTCACAATTGCTTTTTTCCTTCAGTTTTTCTTTTAACTTATTAAAATAATTAATTAGAATAGAATAGAATAGCAATAGAATCAGACATTTGAACAAATGAGGCAAAGAAAAAGTGAAGCGTGTTTTGTTTTGATTTTTGTCAGACTTCATTGTTTTCAGTAACAAGAATATTATGTTTTCATGATTATGAAAGTGGTTCTTGAAAATGAGACTAGTGGACTGTGTTTTTAAGCTCTTTCAAGTTCTGCACTGAAAGATATTTGAGTCATGCAAAGAAACCAAATGCTCCAAATAACCTGTGTACAAATCAAGTAATAGTAACCTGTGGGTTCTATTCCATGTTATCCCTGTGGTAGTCTGTGAAGAACTGAATGCTTTTGTAGCTACTTCAGTGCATTATGTAGCTATTGCCTTGAAAAGCAATACTGTGGGACTTCCCCCAATCTCCTTATGCTTTTGAACAACAAAATACCACATGAAAAGTGTGTTAAGCAAAGCCTAGGGTTACTCCATGCTATTAGACACTGATATTAACAAGGTTTTACTGGATTCGAGTTTACTCAAGGCAGATATCCCTTTCACTGTTATTGTTATTTTTTACCAATTATGTTATTTGCAAAAGAATGTCGGTATTGTTATTAAGGTCTAGGTACTTCAGTCTGAACATGCATATGTACTCAGTTCTATAGGCTTTTTTAAATTATTATTTCTGCCAAGTCAGAAGATTTATATGAAATCCCAACACCAATAAAACAAAAATAGCTTTAAAAAATGCAGTAATGAATCACAAAACTCTAGTAAGAGGGACTTTTGCTTGTTTTAACAACCAGCAACAACCAAAAAAGGTTTGTTCATGGGACATGCAGGAAATATTAAATTCTTCTGGTAAAATCAGATTAACTGGAATTAAGCAGTAAAATGTTTCTTGTGAGTGTAACCAGTACAAAATAGAGTTGAAGTTATCAAGTCAAAATATGTGTGTGGTCAACAATTTGGTGATAAAATATTGAATTTTCAGGAGAAAAAAAAAGTCACCCAGTACAAAAAATTGTTTGGTATAGCTGATTTAGCCTTGAAATATAAATAAACATGTATATAAATGTATGTATGTATGTATGTATGTATATGTGCATATATATATGTGTATATATTTATATACATATATAATCTCTTCAATTTTGTCATCTTTTGATATACCAAAAATCTAGCAGATACCCGTATGTTTGACTTGCAGCTACAAAAGGAGAAAACTATTTATAAAGACTGTGTATAAAAGGATTGCCAAGTATGAGGAAGAGAAAACCTGGAGATTCTTGGTATCATTTTGCTTAGGACCCAATAGTGCTTTCACATTGGCATGATGAAATTAATCTTTTAAATGTAGATTCTTTTCTTTTCAAGTACTCGTCTTAAAATTACCTTGACCATATCCACCACAGAACAATTTTGGTTTGTTTGTCTTTTTATTTTTATAACAATCTTGCTCAATAATATCTTTTAGTTGTAAAAATTGTAAGTGATGTATGAAGGATCATTTATGGTCACTGTATCTATAGTATTAGGTCAAAGCAACCCATGTTATTACATGTTCACAAGATAAGTTGCATAAATTGGTCAAGTTATTGTTTTAGGATTATTTCAAAACTATATACGTTCGAAATATCCCAACACTTTCTTTAATCTTGTGCTAATACTCTGAATTCCATGTGTTTTCAGGCAAGTACTTATGTACAGCTGTAACATATATACTTAATTTTGTCTCTTCTCCTATTTCCAGATTGCTCTTGGCACAGTAACTAATGTGGAAGAAGCAGTAAAGTGGATAAGTTACACTTATCTTTATGTACGGATGAGAGCAAATCCATTAGTATATGGCATCAGTCACAAAGCTTATCAGGTACAAAATGCATTTTAAAAAAATCTGTAACCTGTTCTGAGTCTCTAATCCTTCCCTGATGTGAGGATAAATATTTGCTATTTCTACTTAACCTGACATCAGCAATTCTTTTAAAGTGCTTAGAAAAAGGAAGATATTTTCTGTAGCAGAGTGTTTTTAACACTGAATTATGAGGCCCCTTCTGTTCACATAAAAATACATTTTAACTGGTCAAGTTATGCTCCAAAGGACATCATTCATTCTTATCACACAATTACTGTAACTTAGGCTGTTTTCAGTGTTTCAGTTTTGTAGACTAGATAGAAATGATAAAAGAAAGCATTTTTGAGTTGCTTGATTCCCACTCACCCCATCAGCTTTTGTTTTAGAATGTTTCCTGGTATAATAATTTATAAACTAGAAAATAAAAATTTTAATTGGGTGATATTTTCTATCATATGATTTATTAATTATAAGATTTCTTTAATTAATTTGTTTGGAATTTTTTTGTAATATTTACAAGCATTCCATGCTGTGATATGAATCAGTGCACATTTACATAAGGCGTTTTTTTCAGGTTTTTTCCATTATCTATAATTTTTAGGAAGATTAATAGTTTCCAGATAATCTAAATATTATTACCTTTTTCTTTGTACAGCTGTTTATAAGCATTTAATGTTAGCATGATTAGACACAGTTAATTGAGCCTAATGCAGGGCAAACTCACAAGTGTGTGGTAACTGCAGTTTATTTCACATCAAGGATCCGTTTTGTGACTTTGTAATTTATTTTGACATTGTGAGCAGCAGTTTGTTAGGTCATGGTGCAGAGTTATATGCAAGCAGACAGTTGTTTGATATTTTTTGTCTCTGGTAGTGGAAACTGCAGTGGAAATAGGTGTGCTATTGCTTAAGGAAGCTTCTGCAGACACCTTTGGACCTCTGGTCATCTCAAATTTATTTTCTCTAAAAAGCCATGTAGTTCATTACCATATTTTAATATAACAGTATATAACACAGACCACAAAGTAATAGATAAATGAGAATCAAAAATTGATTTGCTAGTGAGAAGAATGTTGTTGTCCCACTAATATAAATTCTGGTTTTTGTTTCACTATTGAATTCTAGATTAAAAGAAATGTAACCATGGTGATAATAAGTGGTGAAAAAATCAGTAACAGAAATATCTTTTAAAAATTTTAAAAATAATGAACAGGAGTTTCTCTCTTTCCCCCTGCTCTAGTGTTTCTGTTCAGCTGCTGAAAAGTGAGGATTGTTCCACTAACCTTCTTTCTACTCCTTTGGATTTGATGTGCTAATATTAGACATTCATATTTTTGAGTTAAGGCAGTAACAAATGATATCACTGTGAAGTGTTACCCATTCATGTAGGAGCAAAACCAATGCAAATCCTCCTGTTTCCTAGATAAACCAGTTTTAAATGTCAAAGCTTACGTGTGGTAGAATATGGATGCTCTAATGCCAGATGCAGGTATAACCAAAGCTTTGGTCAGTTAGACCAGTCTCGGTATAGGTATCCAATTTTCATAATTGGTGTCTTAGTGTATTTTAGTAATCGCAGTATACCAATTTCTGTCTCTGTTTTCACTGACAGTCAGTGGTATCCATTCAGAATCCCTGTATCCCTTGTGGATCACACTTCCTAGCTGTTTGTGGAGACTGAGATCATGCAAACTCATTCCCCATTCCCTTTCCACCGGTGCTCACCATATCCCGTAATTGTACTTCAGGGCACCCACACAATAGGGTGCACATCTTTGGAACCCCACCTGTTGTCTCCAGGATCTTTCTGGACTACACCCAGGAGCAGGCTACTGCAGGTCCACTGCTTTGATTTGTGATTTTTCAAGTTGTTTCCCAGAAATGCCAATCATGCCTCTTACTGATTCATGAAAATGGCCAAAATTAATGACAAGCAGCAAGAGAAAAAAAAAAAGAGTGGAAGGAAAAAGTGGAGAAAATGCAAATGTTGTATTAGTGAAGCCAGTAGTATGAATTACAGGCATTTTCTCATACTTCTGGGGTTCCATTGAAAAGGTGCCTGGATTAAAAAACCTTCTTTGTCTATTTTCTCCTCTTTTTGGTTCCATTCTTTGTGTTCCCACAGTTAAGCAGAGCTTTTTACCACCATAAAATTTATGTCTAGATATAAAAATTAGAGGAGCTTGTGCCCAACATTTCTCTCAGTAAGTTAGAGGAAAACGGTGTGGATAATAATATACTTTATAATGGATAGTAATGTACTTTATCATGCATTCTTAAATTTCCATATGCATACTCCAGACCCACTCAGTTTCTTACTGTGGACATGCCAAGGCTCATTTTAAAGAGAAGGGCTTCAAGCTGTTCTAGGCTGGATCCTTTATTCTGAGGATTTCTAATTATGCAAGTTCAACAAGAAGGGTGCTAACCATGGATTCTCTAAACTCAAATATTGTTTCACAGTTTTTTCAAGTTGGTGACCTTTCCTTTAAAGTTAAAACTTTGCAAAAAATGTTAGTGTGCTGTTGCAGCCTCTGCTTTTATGGAAGGCAAAAGATTGGTGGGTACTTTGGACTGCCGAAGGAATAGGGAGTTAATTTGATTTTTTATTAATTTTTTTCCCCACAATAGTTTTAAGAAATATTGAACATCTGGCATCTGGATCACTTTTTTTTGACCAACTCTGCTCTGAAATCTGACCTCAATGCATGACTTACTATTGAGAAAAGAAGTCTAGACCTTTGCCATCTTAGCTTTTGACTTGAAACTAAGGCAAGCCATAACTAAGGAGAAACAGCTTCAGGGTAACTGGCAAACATGGAATATTAGGAACTAGTCTCCAGCTGTTTGTGGAGATGACTGTTTGTCTGCAGCTTCACTGACCGTGAGATGATGTACTTCTGCACAAAGGTGAAACTGAATCCTGGCCCAGGGAAAACCAGAGCAAACCAAGGCACAACAATTCTTAAAGCCTGCTCCTTTTTGCTGTCTTGGCCGTGTATCTCTGTTTCAGATTTACCCAGAGAGCTGGTATGACTTATTCTGTAGGAAATCTGAACTATACGCGAGCCCTGAAATAAGAATACTGCCTGTGGACTAGAACAGTGTTTCAGTCCTTAAAACTAATTATTGCTTGTATAATTAGAGCCATATCTCAGGTGCACGTACTGCAGAAGGTTAACATAACTATGAATCTCTTTTCACTCATCCCTGTCAGTGTGGGTATCCCAGGTGCCTGATGTGGAAACACACAATTATACAGCAGTCCTACTCAGATGGGAGTTTTGCCCAGCCTTTTATGTACTAATGAGACAATGTGCATTATTAGTAGGACAAAATGTCCAAGTTCCTGAACTTTGATATGAATAGAAGTGATGTTGGGCACAGGAAGCTCCTTTGTGTGCTTTTAACATGAATGTTACTGTACATCTGTAACTCACTAATTAGAATATCCCAATTAACCTACCAAAAGCTTTTGGGGATGTTAAAGGTTTTTTCCTAGGAAACATTTAAGCCATGCAATTTGAAGCTTAATCTATTATCTGTGCAATTAAAGCCAGCCTCATGTCAGCTACACAGGAAGGTATATCTTCAGCCATTTTCATCAACAGAAGGTGTCAAAAGATGACATTTTTTTTGAAGTGATACAGTAATGATAATTTAATGAAGAGTATGTTATCATTAAAACATCTTTCAAAATTTTCAAAGTAAATTTGTTTCATAATCATACTACTGTTTCATAAATAGTATTGGTCTCCATTGTAGTGATAGTCCCAAATAATTGTAAAAGAAATTTTATTCTGATTGTTTTGTCCTGTACATACAGGTTTTGGTCTGTAATGTCAATATAATTGTTATTAGTGAGATCACAAGAAAATTGGCATTATGTATTTGCAGTGCTTTAGGCAAGTGGTGCCACAGATTAACTGGTGATGTGGATTATCATACGTAGGTGCTATTCACCTAATCCTCAGATTAGCACTTTCATAACTTATTTCCAAAATGAACTATTCAGTCTTTGTTTCCTTTCATTACACCCTGGAGCCATTGGATCTCCTTGCTTAGCTCTGACTTCTCTCCATTTTGACTCTGTCCTACTGGAAAGAGATGTGCGGTACTAAAAGGAAATATTTTGTATGTGTGTGTGATCCCAGTTAATTTCTGTAGTAACAGACCTTACTTTTCCTTTCAGTCTGAGAGCACATTACTTTTGCTGCAGTGATGCCCTGAGAGCTTGTTTATCTGCAGTACACCATCAACCCTTGTCTTGCCATGTCCTTTCAGTTGAATAATTTTTTAAGTTTTTTTTGGCAGTGATTTTAATATTTATGATTATTTTGTGCATTCTAGTAATACTTTTGTTTATGTAAAATAACCTATTTTATTCATTTTATCAGATTTTTGACTTTGTGTGACTGGATTACCTCAAGAAAATTATATATTAAATACTTCTTTTATGCAAATAATTGTGTGTGTTTCATGTTTAGATGGATCCAGGTCTAGAAAAGCACAGAGAACAATTGGTTATTGAAGTTGGCAGAAAACTGGACAAAGCCCGCATGATTCGCTTTGAAGAACGGACTGGCTTTTTTTCTTCAACAGATTTAGGCAGAACTGCCAGCCACTACTATATTAAATACAATACTATAGAGGTAAAAGATGATGTCCTGTTTCTGGAGGGTTTTTTCCTTTTTTTTTTTTTAAACATATGCCTAAAATAGTTGTAAGATATTACAGAATATGTAGCTGATTTGTTCACTGTATTTTCAAATCATATTTACTGAAATGGGGGGAGAGGAAGTAGGAAAAAGAAAGAAACTAAATATCAAGCAATACTGAAAATTTAGACTCAATGTGAGGTGAGATTTAAATTTTTGTAGTCTTTTTGACTTGTAGAAGAATTATAAGAAACATTTTGATATTCATGGTGTGTGCAACCATTAGTACTTGATAGCACATTGTACTGTAGTGTCTAACAGATGACCTTCTTTGGGAGAAAGTCCTATCATGTTGACAACCTTGAACAACTTCTGGTGCTGTAATCAGATTGTGTTGTAAACATGTTCAAAATTTTGTAGTATTGGAAACTTGATTTGATGTACACATTCATCTTAAAACATTTTCTTTCTTAGTGAATGTGTTTTTCTTGAATAAAAGCTAAAGACTCAGCATTAATAATTTTTAACTGTATACTGTCACTGTATATAATTAGTCTCACATATTTATTCAGTCAGATATGTCCTAGACTTTTTTTCTTAAGTGGCCACGTTGCCTGTCTCTTGATGTTGGAGTGGCCAAGGCACTGAGAGATTGTTTTTCTGAAACTGACAAAAAGTCACTATGGAATTTATTCCTGTTTAAATTGCATCACCCTGGTCTTCCAATAATTTGCATTTTAGACTTATATGCCTTTTAAACTCTTGGCTAAGGTTTCTTTGTTTCCTGCTATATGTGTATTTTTATTTCCAGTGACAAATCGATTATTTTTATTTTTAATAGACTTTCAATGAATTGTTTGATGCTCATAAAACCGAAGGCGATATTCTTGCTATAGTATCAAAAGCTGAAGAGTTTGAACAGATAAAGGTAAAGTTAAAGAATTTCTTGAAGCTAGACACTTCTGTAGTACTTACTCAATAAATGCTGTCTACAAACACAAGTTTTGTTAAATGCTAAGCACCATTATAAAATGTTTTCTGAGTAAACATAATACGCTCTTGCTCAAATTTGTACGTAGTTCAGCTTGAACTGTAGTGCACATTTAATAGCTAGTTATGGATCTTTGAGTAATTCTTTAAAATGCTTTTAAGAACTTTTCAGCTCCTCAATTATTAACAGGTGAAGCTAAGTGTCCATTTGAATAGTGTGCCGAGGGATGAGGTAGTTTCTCTGTTTGAAGTTTAAGGCATTATTGGATGTCTCCCTGAACAGTTTGCTTTATCAGGAATGAGGCAGGACTCACGGAAGTGAATTCTGATATATTTTCTGCAGGGAACAACATTAGATTGGCAGAACGATAAATTCTCATAAATTCAAATCTGAAATCTAGAAAGTTGTCACAACAGATTTTACAGGGGCTAGAAGATTACTGCTGTGTTGTACTCAGTTCAGTTCCAGCCTCCCTTTCTGCCTCCCGTGTGGGCAGGACACAAGGCAGTACATTCCAAGCTGGCATGAGCTTGTTTGCCCATGCTTCCATCTCACAGAGGTACGAGCCAGACTCCACAGGGTTTGTTAGCTTGGGCTCATTGCCATTTTACCACAATTATACAACTTGCAGATCAGAGCTGGCTCTCATTCACCTGGCTCTGTGAGCTGACAGCGTGAATCCCTCACCATCTACATATTTACATATTTGCACACATTGTCTGGGTATTACCATCTCTTTATCTAACGGAGAAATTCTATTTTGCTGTAATCTCTTCTATTATAGAAGATAATAAGCAGTGAGGTTTCACAGTCATACATGGAACATTTTCCAAGCTAGAAGGGCTTTTTTATGACAGTGATAATGCTTGACTAGGTCTAAATTTAGCGTAATTTAATATTTAAAAGGAAAGCATATGGAAAATATCATGTGATATGTTTCTATATTTTTAATAAAGTTAGTAGTGATGCTTCTTGACTAAAGCACAGTTTTTCTAGTTTACTTTCTCAGATTTGTATGGTATGGCATCAGTGCACTGTCAGTTCCAGATTTTTGTGATTCATTTGCTGTGCAGCTCTGAATGTTAAAATGAATAACTGGTTTTCACAATAATAGCTCAGGATTTGCCCCTCTGTGTGATAGAAATTGTGACTTTTGATAAATTAATCACATTTCCATAATGCCTTTAAAAATTCTGAATTTGAGATATGTAACTCACCAGTAGCTGAAATACAGATCTGGATAAGACCTGTACTTGTGCTGTGCAAGAGCAGAAAAAATTATCAAAAATGCTGTTGTAAGCAGAGCATTGTATTCCCCTGAAAGTGGAGTCATTTATGATGGTTCTGTACTTCATGTCTTTCTTTCCTGTGGGACTAGTCACTAGAAAGTTGGGGATTTTAACCCAATTGTCTTAGGGTCTTTTGTATGTCAGGTAGTCAGGTCCAAATGAAAATTACTTTCAGATGGTTCCCTGCAGGGACCAAACATTTACCCTCTTCAAATAAGTTTTACACTAACAGACTATCAGTAAGTCAAAGAATATGTAGATTTATGCTAGTTTTGCCATGTAAGGGTCATCAGTTAGAATGTGAAATGTTATGCATTATTCAAACCATAGATATTAATATTTCTTTACTCATATTAAGACTTAATCTTATTAACAGTGGAAATTTTAATATGATGAATCATAGTACTTCACAGTTTTGAGTTTAAAAATGTATTATATCACATGCAAACTGTGTAACTATAATGAGTACATTTAATGTTAATTCAAGATTGCCCTAATCCAGATGGACAGAAGTTTTACTCTGGTCAAATAAAAAATAAAATCTCATCAGATGAAGGATGACAAGGTCACAAGATTCAATTTTTGTGGCATATCAAATTTTTGTATGTCAATGACAACCTTAATAGATGGTGATGAATAACAAAATATAATTGTGTCCCTATTAAGATAGTTTCAATTATGGTCTATTAGCTACATTGTGGAAGATGTGGGTTTACTGCTTTTTTTCTTTTTTTTTTTCTCCTTAAAACTAGAGACTCCATTTAAAAGTAATATAACTATGTTATAAGGAAAATTTGATTTCAGTGTAAAAATTTTTATCGAATTGCTTCAACCTCTTCATAATGTATAATTGTGTTGTAGGTAAGAGAAGAAGAAATAGAAGAGCTAGATACCTTACTAAATGATTTCTGTGAACTTCCTGCTCCAGGAGGTGTGGAAAACAATTATGGAAAAATTAATATCCTCCTTCAAACATACATTAGCAGAGGGGAGATGGACAGCTTCTCCCTTATTTCGGATTCTGCATATGTTGCACAGGTAAAAATAGTATTTTCTACGTATTTGTTGCTGACTTCTGCTGTTTTAATTCTCCCAAATATTTACAATTATACAAGTAGGGCCTGATCTGCATCTTTTTTGTACATTTTTGTGCAAGTTTCTTTGAAAATCAGAGCCTTGTCTTTGTGCATGCATGTAAGCTATAACACTCGAGTAGAAAAGTTTTGCAAAAGGCTACCTTGGGAGACTATGGCAGCTTTTGTTAATTATGAATGCCCTTTTTTTTTTGTAGTACCCATGTAATCTTATTCTATTTAGTTCCTCTAAGTGTGATTGCACAGAAATTATATTCTCTAAATTTCAGTGTTTCCTTCTAAATGTGAAAAACTGTTGTAATCTATTTTTGTGCTTTGTGTGTTTTTATACTTCATTCTGCAAAACATATTTTGTGTTTGATTCACATACCTTGGTTTTCTCATGAAAGATGTGCAATTGTAATTCTGTTGCTGGATGTAAACTAGCAAAAAATGTGCAGATTGACATAGCAGTCTATGTATTTGTTTGTTGGCTTCATTTCACACCTAAAGGGTTGATTGTAACACAGCATGTTTGGTTACCACACATAGGCAGGTACGGAGGGGGACATGACACAGAGATCTATTTAGCCAGCTGTGAACCCAAAAACTGGTCCCTTTTAGCCCATCTCACTCTCACTCTTTTTTTCTATATTTAATAGTCAGCAGAGATGTTGCATGGAATTATTTTTGTCTCATCCTTAAAAAACTGCTTTGGAAAGAGTTAATCTAAAAGTTTCATTTAGTTGGTACTAAAGATGAGATTTAAATATTCAAAATTATACATAGTCTTTAGCAACATTTTCATAGTAGCAAAACCTTTTTCAGAAATGTTTGTGTTTTGTAGCATGTATGAGTATAAACGAGAAAATGCTGAACTGATTGTACACATCATAAAAATTGTGCACTTGCACAGCAAAATCATTTTCAGTGGGATCCTTTTAATCTTTGCTTTCAAGGCCATTGTTTTTATTTGTCTGTCTCATTTATAGCATGTTTAGTGAGGCAACATGGTCTTCTTCTTAGATCTTCATAAACTGTCCTTGTGGAACCAGTGCTACAAAGTGTGGTTGTTTTTTTTTTAATTTGGATAGTGAGTATTAAGAAAATTTTTCATCCTAAGAGGAATGTGCTTCCTTAGTAACATATGCTTCCTATCACAACCAAATAATTTTCTATTTTTTATTCCTGTTGGCATAGCAGAGCCAGTAGGGAATGATTATATTCTATTCAATGAATCAAGAACATAATTCCTAATCCAGACATAGTACTGGTAGGGAAAAAAAAAAAAAAAAAAAAAGATAGCTTCATAATACAGCTTGAAAAGTTTATGAAAGGAATATCATAACTTAGGTTTTCAGGATAAGACTGACCTCATTCAAACTTATGTTATTAATTATTTTTCCAAGTCCAAAGCATATTTGTACAGTTTGGTTATACACTATTCTCAGAATATAGTAAATGTTTTCAAACATTCACTACTGTTAAGCTTCTGTGCAAATGTTGTGAAATTCAGTGTGAGATGGGATGCTATTATAGAAGCATAAACTAGAAAATAACAAAACTTGAATTTCAATATAAAGTGAATTTGCAGGTGTCTGTTATGGGGGGGGGACATTAAATGAATTTGCCTCAGAAGTGATTGATACACAATAAATTTAGAACTCCATAATGTTAGCATAACTGTGATCAAAGTTCTATGGCAGACCTGACACTACAATTTTAATTGGTTGCACATGTTTCTTTTCATAATTTCAGAATGCAGCCATGAGGTAGTTTTGCCACTAGACAGTGATGGAAAAAAATACTTTTCAAAAATGTTTGAAATCAGTTCGAAAAGAAAAATCTATTGTTATGGTTTGTCAAAGATGAGTCTATGGGATCCTTTTCATTTTACAAAGAATATTGAGAGAATTACAACAGTTCTGCCTTTTTTTTCCCCCCCTTTTCGCTTTCCAGAATGCAGCTCGCATTGTTCGAGCTCTTTTTGAGATTGCCCTGAGGAAACGCTGGCCTGCCATGACTTATCGGCTACTGAACCTCAGCAAAGTCATTGACAAGCGGCTCTGGGGCTGGGTGAGCCCTCTGAGGCAGTTCTCAGTGCTACCACCATCCGTCCTCTCCAAGCTGGAAGAGAAGAATCTCACCATAGACAAGATGAAGGACATGAGAAAAGATGAAATAGGTGAGAAACCAGCAAGGCTGATCTGCTTAAACTATAGAAAACAATGGGCAAGTAAGAACTAAATCTGAGCCGTGCATCCATATGCCCTCTCTGGTCTGGAAGCCACGTAGCCACATACCACACGTTAATATGGTTTGGCCAATAAAGAAGGTTTTTTCCAGTCTCCACAGCTTGTAAAATGGCACAGCTCTGAGGATAAGGCCAGCCCATGTCCTGGTGGTCACAGAACACAGATAGAAAGGTGATGTCTATTGAGAAGTATTTAGGTAGATATGTGTAGATATACATATTTATGTTGACCTGTGTGCTTCCCTTTCTGCCCACCTTACCTAACAAACTACTATAAAAGGCTTCTGTTTACTCTTGCCAGTTGGCACAATGTGGCCTTATTTCTTTAACTATTAATATGGAAAAGAGTAAAACCAGATTATTACATCCAGGTATGCTATCAGTAAATGGCCTTCTTCTGAAAGACTGCATTAATTTTCATTGAACATGGAGAATTCATTGTCACTGGTGTCACTGCAACAAAACCTTAATGGAATTTTTTAAAGGATTTGACAGTCCAATAATGAGAAAATCCACAAGCCTACTGATAGACATAATGACAATTTCCAGTAAGTCTGTATAAACTGTTGTGCATAAACTGCCCACCAGCTGGTTGAAGTAAAAAAACAAAAAAATCACTTGTAATGCATTTCTTTTTCCTTAATGTATTTTTTTTTATTTGGACTTTGTTTGCACCTGCTATTACCAACCTGTTGATAAACAAACTGCCATTTTTTGAAAAATCCAATTTTAGAATAAAAATAACATTCATACTCACTGCTTAGACGCTATCACATCTAACTTAATATTTCTTTCATTTGCAGGAGTGCTACATTGCTAGCTTGGAAAACTTTGTTATGTGCCTAATCTAGGCTGAAAAAAGTTAAATTAATATGTAAAAGTTTGCAGAATTAGATGCTATATTTTCATTTAATAAGTTAAACCAAAAGACTACGACAAAATTCTAGATGCTTACTTTACCTGCATTTTAATATAGTAATGTTAAATGTATTAAAACCATTGCATTTTATTTGAAATACTAGCATTATAGTTTTTTATTCAGAAGTGTTATAGTACTTTTTAATTCACTGTTAATTTTTTGTGTATTTGTGATGCCTTTTAGTACTTAGTGTTCTTTTCCATTAATTGTATTAGCGAGGTTTTTATTTTTGTGGTTGTTGTTTGGTTTTGTGGAGCTGTTTTTAGTTCGGGGCTTTTTTTGTTTGTTTTTGTTTTGTTTGGGTTTGGTTTTTTTAATTGTTCTTTCTTCCCGTACCCTCACTTGAGAAGCAGGAAATTTTGTGTAAAACTACAAAGCCAATTTTGCTTCCTTCAATGCATTGGAACCAGTATTGACAAGATGGAAATGTATCTATATATACCTGCAAATTGTTAGGTTCTGGTTTATATTAACTTAGTTTGAAAGTAGATGAGACATGGGATTTGACTGTAAAAATAGGGCACTGCTGACCATACATAATGATATTTCATGTTCTTCAGCCTTACAAATATCAAAGAAAGTTGATGTGTGTATCTCTGTGAAGTAGTTGCTTGGCACACTTCCTCCTGTCTGGCCTCTCTTTCTGAGGCATGCAAAGGAACTCACTGTATTTTTATTTCAAATTCTAAGCCGTGTTGAAATGAGGGAAGGCACAACTTCCAGGTACTGCCTTGTTTTCTTACCCCACAGGGCTAGTTTCAGTCTTAGTGTTTCTTGCTTTTTAAATGTTATGGAGACCTTGGAGATAGAGTAACAAAGGCAGGAGCTAACTCAGCCCTTGGCTTAGGGGGAGATGAAAGCATTCGATGGGTGGAGGGCACGTTGTGTGCACAGATCCTGGATTCCAGGGTACCATGAATGGATCAACACCAAACTATGAGCTATTGCAATGTAACCATGGAGTTTCCAGATAGCCAGGAAATCACTGTGTTAGCTGAGATAAACAGTTCCTTTTTTTTTTTCAGAATGCAGATGACAAACACTTTAGAATAAGCAAAAATTTTTTTTAGACATGCCTATTTTCTTTGTCAGCTTTTGTTCAGAGGGTTTTAGCATTTTTTAAATGCCATTGATGGTTTCTCATAATGTAACCATTAAAAAGAAAAAAGAGAGAGCTTAGGGAGATGAGAGTTTTATCACGTTTTGTAGAAGTTGGGAGAGGAGCCTTATTTTCCCCTAGCACATAACTGTAAAAGGACCTCAGTGCTGTCCTTTACTAACACATTTCACCTCACACATGTAGATAAAGTGATTTTTGCCATAAAAAGTATACTTCCCTACATGGGTTTTTTGAGTCATATCTTTGAATATTTGTCATCTGCCTTTATTTACCATGATTTCTGAAGTTTTACCTCTAATTGCAAAGGGTAGTCCCTGTGCAAGTATGCTGAAATGCTGCATGTATCATCCAAGTGTGCCAACATAAGGGCTTTGGTTTTTAATAACCCACTTGTTGGAGATGCAATTGTTTTACCAACTACAAATTAAACTGATTAAATAGGTATTAAAACTTTGGGTTAGGGGTTTGATTCTTAAGCAAGGTCACCATTCATTACTTCAGAGTATAAACACCCACGTGAGACAAATCTATCTGCCAATTTATTAAATAAGAAAAACTGAAAAGGGAAAGTCAGTATCAATTTAAAAATACCAGTTTCAAGATGCTATGCTCATAGATGTCTTGTAATTGCAAGGAAAGGTTTGTATCACCTTGTCATTTTGCACATAATGTAAATAATAGGACTTCTCCTTTTTTGAATTTTTTTTGGTTTTTTTTAAATGGGTAAGTATGCACAGAACCACATACCAATACCAGAAAATGTCAGTAGCAATTGTTTTATATCCAAAATGAAGAGCAAGGGAAGAGAGATTTGAGCTGTAAAATACAAGTAGGACATTTTTCTAAATAAATAGAATCACTTTATTGCCCTAGTTACCATGATTACAATAGAAAATAAAAAATATTGCAACATTTAATTTTTCCTTTGTCTCATTTACACATTGGTATATTCTCACAGATCAGAGCTGCTGTGAGATGTTTACTTATGTGCATTTTCAACCTATTAAGTACCTTTTTTTCAGTTTTATGAAAAGCATTCTGTCTGCTTTGAATCACTGCAAAGAAATTTTAGAAGTTAAATTAAGTAAAAAATTGGTATTTGTGCTCTGAAAAAGAAATATATGGCTTGATAAGAGCCTGGTCTAAAAATAAGTGAAGGAGAGAGAACTAGCTTGACATAATATTTTCAGTGTGAATTCTTAATAGTTATTTTAACCCCTTAGTTATAGCCAACTAGGGGGTTAATACTGATTTTTCAAGGCTCTAATTCAAGTTAAGTATTACAAAATATTCAGACATGCTGGGTCAAGAGAGTCAGACATTTACGCACCCAGGTGCAAAACAAGCAAGCAATAACACTGCTCTCTAAAAGCCTATTTGAAAGTCAGAGTTGTATGCCTTTTCCTGGAAATGCAAATTTGTTACACCTGATGTTTTCTTGGCAGGTCATATGCTGCATCATGTGAAAATTGGGTTAAAGGTAAAACAGTGTGTCCATCAAATACCCTCCATCATCATGGAAGCGACGATCCAGCCAATCACCCGCACCGTGCTCCGAGTCCGGCTGAGCATCGCTCCCGACTTCACCTGGAACGACCAGGTAAAAACAGAGGGAGCAGGAGGCAAGAAGGGAAGCATTAGTTTAGTTTCAGTAAAGGAGATGATCACTGCTTGTCCATAGCTTTTTGGATTTTTTAAAAAGCATTTATTTTTGCTAAAAAGCAAATTTGATAATAGGAATGGGATGATTTTTATGACTTTTGTTGGAGAAAGCAGGCAAGGATCATCTTTTCATTTCTGTTAAGCCATGTAAGATTGGGCTGTTTATAACACATTGAGACAAGTGCTTAATACTGAATATTTAAAGTAGTCACACACAGATTAGAATTATGTGCCCAGAAAGAAGAAGCAGGAGAAAGGGAGACATGAGTGGCTCTCTGAACTATGAATGAATGTCAAACACAGCAAAGCTTTGAAATGCAGTTCATGTATGCCAGGTTCCTGTTCTTCCTGGCTTCACAAATATACATTCACAATATCAGTGCCTTTTTCTGCTGGGACTTGTCTGAACAAAAAAAAACCCTGAGATATGTTTGGAATTATGTTCATCTGTATTTTATAGTGCAGATTTATATGAAAGGAGTTGTACCAGTTTCACATTTAGCCATACACACATCCTTTGATCCAGAATCTGTTCATTAGAAATACATTTAAGATAAATCTAAATGAAACATAAATGTCCACATGGGGGCATTGTATTGTTGCTGTTACTTCTGAAACTCTCTACAGGAAAAAAAGATACCTCCATAGGCAAACATAATTTTCTTCTTTTAGACTTATGAAATTTATGCTTAAGATAAATTATTTTGAAATGTGGATATTAAGTATCTGTTCTTTTAATAAAAACTAATTTTAAAATCCCTTAGATTACAATTTTTACGTTAATCATAATTAAATGAGAGGTTTATTCCACAAATATTTAAATTACTTTAGAATTTATTTTCCCTGATGAAAGGCTTTTTAATTTCTTGTAGAAGTTTCATCGAGTTGCCTTATAAATGGGATATTAGCAATCAAAATACAGAGTTTGAGCAATCAAAATATAGAAAGTTTGATTTTGCTTGCCACCTAGATTTATTGAATAAATATTTGAATGAATTCCTAACATGAATTATAAATGAATTTTTTTTACCTTATTTATGGGCAATACTTCAGAAGGAAAAGAAAGCATTACATTTTAGGATTGAATTAAGTTTTTATTGTTCAGTTCATCCACTTTACCTGTAGTCTGCTAAAGACAAAAAAATTACTGTTCTTCATATTAAACTTTATCTGAATACAAAGTAATTTCTCAATCCATTGTTAGGTTTTTCTAGAAAACCTAGGTTCTATATCTTTACAGGTTAGGGATCCACACAAAATTACACTGTTGTTTTAATTCTGAACTTCTAAATTTAGAGCAAAAGTTTGTCACAAATCTATTTTCTGCCATGACCCCTTTACACAGTTTTTCTGATGATTGCTTTAGAAATATTATGATTGTTGGATCATTTAAGCTTATGGAGATGTTTTTATGTGAATTTGTTTATGGGAAATCATAAAAACTTGGAGAAGTGTTTTTTTTCTTTTTTTTTTTATTTCTGTAATGTGGTGTTGATTTTCCTGTTTCTTCAGTAAATGAAGCTTTTATCACAGTAAATAACTAAAGCTGTTAAATTTTAATAGTTTCTGAAAATGAATAGGTGTCTCAAATTCAAGCATAGACACTCTGAAACTTCTTCTCTATCATTACATTATTTTAACAAGCTTCTCAGAAGATGGCTATAGAAACTTACCAGTATACCTGTATTTGGTGCAAAAGTGAGTTGCTAAAAAATCCTATCCAAAGAATTGCAGTAATCAAATAAAACCAGTTATGAAAACTTTAAATACCATGCTTAGTTGAAATACCCTGCTTGGCTAACATTTCATGGTTTTAAGATTGTTCCTTTACCTGGATAATTAATTCTATAATGATCTCATCAAGAACTTTGTGCTTGATGTTACAAGAGAAAGAGATGTTTTGTGAGATATGACATCAGCTTGATCTTTAGTTTTCAGTACAGGGATCCCTTAAGTTCAGTAAAAGCATATGAGCCAAATCTCAGATTTTTATTCTATTGTTAGAAGCAAAGGACTATAAACATACCCAGACAGAGCAATTAAGCCTTAATGCATCCAGGAGGAGTCCAGCAGAAATGCAGAATAATGCAAATAATACGAATTAGCTGAGTCAAACATCAGACATGTAGTTTTAGGGTGATGGTTGCCCAAAATACAGGCACAGGTATGTGCCAGTTTTAAGAGCTCCCCAATCCTTGAGAATCATTACTGGAGATGTTGTGTCCTGTTCCCAGATTGTCCTGCTTACCCCATGCAGTTTTTTCATGGGACTTTCCAAAATTAGGTTGCTATTACAGTTAATAATAAAATTTCTGAGCTTTGGACTTAATTGCCTTCCTTAGTTCTTCTTATTTCTCTTCTTATTTCTCCTAAACCCATATGAAATAATAGTCTCACTGTCACTTTGCAAGATGTCACCTGTGTGTCATTTCAGTTTCACTGCTTCAGTTCCTAATGAGGCTGCAAGTGAAATTCAAATGTAATAAAAATGAATGACTGTCCATCTATTTGTCTATTGCACAACTGTAGTAAAAAAGAAAGAAAAGCACCTTAATTTTATTCTTTGTGCATATTTTTGTCTTCACAAACTAGTACAGACTGTTTTCTGACACAGACACAGTAATGAATTATGCTGAAAATAATGTGTACTGTGTGAATCAATACCAGATTCCTGGAGCATTACAATTGCCATTAGAAGCAACTATGCACTTTGACTTTTTTTCTATTAAGTTTAGGAAAAATTCCAACTTTTTTTTCATCTCCTGGTTTTGCAACTTATCACAGACCTCATCAGAAACATCAGAAATCTGCATTCATTTACTACTATGTCTTCCGTACTCCTTTACCATGCATTTTTCTTATTTTTTGAAATATTTATGTAAAATACCTGTACATTGGCAAAGGGTATTTATTCTGACAAAAAAAAAAAAAAAATCTTAATTTAGCATCAGCATTGCTGGCATTGCAAAGTAAGGTACACAACAAAGCAAACAAAAGTCTAGGTTTAAAAAGACATTGCCAGGTGGCAGGGAAATCATCAAGTGATGGCTCTATTTATGTTCTTCTCACTTCACCTGTAACAATGGCTACATTACAGCCTTCTGAATGCACTTGCTGTATCTTTCTAGAGGAAAGGGATGAGAGAGAAGAGCAATATCACAATTCCTTGTCTGGTTTTTTCCTGAGAGAATGTTTGTGACTGAAAAATGAGCAGACAGCTGCAAACAACAATCTTCTATACAGAACCTAAAGGCAAAAGTACAGGGGGGAATAAAGAGACCATGTTCTTTCCTAGGAGCCTAGAGGGAACTCTTGGGATTTAGTGAATTCATAAACAGCTGAGGCACTACCTTCAGTTGCATTTGTATCATGTCCATTTTTATTATATGTACCTTAAGCAAACTCTAATTGAAGCATAATCTTTAGGCAGACTCATCTGATTAAAATGTTATTTTTCTGTTACCTCTGATTTCTGTATTTTTCTGTACTATTCCTTTATGAGCCTATGTCATTTAGAAATACGTCCACTATTTCTAACAAATCCAGAGAATCCAAACCCAGAGAACTTAAAGAAAACCATCTTTTCTACTTATAAAGGTACATGGCAGTGTTGGAGAGCCCTGGTGGATTTGGGTAGAAGACCCTACTAATGATCACATTTATCATTCAGAGTACTTCATCATTCAAAAGAAACAGGTAATGCACTTCATCCAGAATCTCACAGCAAAACAAAAACAAAGTTAGTGAGATGTGGATTTGTTAGGTCAAACAGTATTTTGGCCTAAGCAGATTTTCAAATCAGCAGTACAGCTTTCAAATTCAGATGTACCCGATCAGCTTGGACTTCCACAACAATGTTTTCTAAGCTTAAATGTCCCTTTTTCTCTTCCTCCTTTGCTGGGACAGTTATTTTCAGGTGATGTAGAAAGACTATAATGGTTTTGTCTGTTAAAGAACAAGATGAAAAGCCAGCCTTATTTTTATCTTTGGAAGACTATTGAAGAAAAATTCATTCCAGGCAGTAAAATATTTTATAAAGATGTAAATATTTGCACACATACTCTGTCGTCTGGTGTTAGCAATGCTTATGGAAGTGAGGCAAACTGTGATTTTTCAAGTTACTGATTTTTCTGTGTAGTAATTATTCTCTACATGTTTGCACTAGGTCATTACTAAAGAGCCTCAGCTGCTGGTGTTCACAATCCCAATTTTTGAACCTCTTCCTTCTCAATATTACATTCGAGCTGTGTCCGATAGATGGTTAGGAGCAGAGGCTGTATGTATCATAAATTTTCAACACTTGATTCTTCCAGAGAGACATCCACCCCACACAGGTAACTTCAAATTTGATAATTTTGCTTTAATTTATATTGATCATATTGGGTTTTTTGTGGTAGTGCAATAAGACTCTTACTTCTGCTTCATTGGAGAAAGATATATGGAATTTCACTTTGTGATATTTGTTTTCCAGCTTTCTAAGCTTTTCAATTCCTGAACAAAATGCAGGAATTTTGGTTATACATCTTAGTATAACACCAGCCTTTTAGTTACTCCGGATTCTCTATAAACCATAAGAAAACTGAACCTGTCATACAAAACTAAGCAAATCTCTGTGTTACGATATGTCTTAGCTTAGTGCTTGCAAGCAACACCTTTCTTCTGGACTGGCTAAAAATAATTTTAGACTGTCTAATAAATGGCATTCAGCAAAGAACAAACAGTGAAAATTCTGAAAATATGAAATGTTTTCCTGCTTTTGCTGAGAAATGTTTATCATAGCAAGAACTGTTGCAGCACTGAACATCACATTTCGTCTCATCAAGTTGTGTCCCTCCCCGCCCCCTCCTTTTTTAACACTTGGCACAGAAGCATATGTTTGTGTTTTGCTTCTTTTTTTCTGGATACATAAATTGCTTTATACATTCACTGGGGCTGATGTCATTGTAAAACCTTTCCTCTATAATTGCATTTGGCTCATCTAGTAGTCTGCTGAGTGCCTTCAGAAATGCACAGTTCTCATACGGTGTTGTCCTTTGGCGTGCATAAATTCACATGTGTTTGTGAAGTGTTTAGCTATTGTTATACTGTACCTACACTGTCTGGAAAAGCATGTGTAACCTTTTTATCTAATTGACTGATCACTGACTACTATTCAGAAGAAACAGAAAGATATTTACACATCACCAGTTATGGAGACTCCAGGATTTATGGTAATTGATTTCAATTCCCATCTGGTTCCCACTCAACAACGAAGTACGTCGAGGCTCTGCTAGGCAAAAAATCCCTTCTTTCTCCTCAACAGAGCCCAAGAAATCACTTGGTGATTAGTTTCAGTGGGAATGATAAAACAGCCATAAGGTACCAGTGAAAAGCATGTGAAGAATATTAGGCATCATTGCCTCAGTAGATTTTATGGCTCCCATATCATACCTTAATGTGAAGCACCCTAAAAAGACGAGGAGACCTCCAGCCACAAAAAAAAAACCAAACCCAAACTTCAAAGCAAGCATCTGCATAGCAGAATCACTGCAGTCTCCTTAATTTGGTAGGATTCCAAATCCAATCTGGTTATATATATCATCTTCCAAATTCCACAATCTCTAATTCTTTGGATAGCAGATGCCCTCAAGATATATTAAGAATCATATATTGAAAAGCTGTTTGTTTATTTATTAACATTATGTCTTTAATTATAGATTTAAAGGATAAGATGCAAAATTTAGCTGTACTCATCTGATTTGTATTACTCCATCAACTAGGAAACTCCAAAGAATCCTTCTTTCTTAAAAAGACTTTTTCCCTTGAACTTGAAATACTCCACATTCTGTTATCATAAAAGCTGGACGTACATATGATCTAACACAGTGAGTTTAGAACTTACTACAGGTGGATAAAAAGAAAACAGGTATAAGAAAAATATTAATATGCAAATAGATGGTTCACAGCTATCAGATTTTCAAATCAGATTTTCAAAATTACTTGCAGAATTATTTCAGAGCTATAAAACAACTTTTCATTTTTCTTCTTTAAAGTGAGCAATTACCCAAATGTGTACTCTCTGTCATATGAGATACTAAGTAAAACATTTTTCAATGTAAACTGTTTTTCACTAAATTACTGTTTAATATATTTATCTTCATAACAAGCTGTTGTGTGTGTCATGGCATCTCTTGTCATCCACTTACTATTATTTTGTGGTTTTAGAGCTTCTGGATCTTCAGCCTTTGCCTATCACAGCCTTGGGACATCCTGAATATGAAGTCCTGTACAAATTCACACACTTCAACCCTATTCAGACACAGATATTCCATACCCTCTATCACACAGACTGCAATGTTCTTCTTGGAGCTCCTACAGGTTCTGGAAAAACGGTTGCAGCTGAATTAGCCATCTTTAGAGTTTTTAACAAGTATCCCACATCAAAGGTTTGTAAAACAGGTTTACTAGAGTCATTTTGTTATGAGCATCTCAGTAACAAAAGAGTCTAGAAGAAGACTATGGGGAACTGAATTTTACTTTCTCCAATTTATATGTGTGTGGACACAAAATATTATTGCATTATGTGCATTATGCTTTTATTTTAACTATTTATTTTAATCAGTTGACAGCTAGAGTTAAATCTACAAAAATGACATGCAGGCATGCTGGATTTCCTTTTCTACTTTACTTAACAGCATTTCCTGCTTTAATCTCCTTCTTCTAGCAGTGGTACTGTTTTATAGCTATTAGTTCCCTTCCATGGGACTACAGCTAGCCCAGTCTCTCTATTATTTAAACAAATAAGTTGCAATTAATTACTACAGGCCAATTTTCTGTTCCAGCTCTCCCCTGTGTTTTAAATTGCCTAAAAGCTGAACAACTCAGCCTTTGGAGTTTTCAAAGTGAATATATATATGCTTCTCAACTTAGCCATATTGTCTTAGTTAACCACATTTTAGATTTAAAGTCATTCAAAAACCTTTGTATCTGACTGGGAGATTAAAGAAAAAACAGTATAACCTTTACATTAACAGAAATTCTGTACATAAACTCCTTAATCATCTTTGAATTTAAATATCTTCATGTAATTTCTTAGTCCAAGTGAGGTAAACAAGTCACTCATACACTTCCAACTTATCTGTGAGACATAAAAAATAGCCAGTTCTCAAAGGAATGCATCTTTTAGGTTTTAATAAAGCTGGAAGCCTGGCTATATATTTCAAAGAATGTATGTGAACTCTTCATGTAGCAGTTTCTTCATTGTTCAAGAGCTTTAGAATTTTTAACCATAAATCTATAAGTAAATATGTTTTGTACATGTAAGCATATTCCCCTCTGTACTGCAGGTTTCTTTGGGAAAAATATTGTGATATTTTGCTTAAGATAATCAGCTTTTTTACTTAATTGGTATTTTTTATTAATTTAATGACATAACTAGAAATCAGGTAGGATATTGCTTGCCAGAAATTCAGATTATTTCTGTTCTATTATTTCTTGCAGATTTTATAGTCATGGCAACAAAAGCCGTTATTTACATAAGTGGGTTTTGGATTTTAAAAGGTGTGATAAATACTTCAAGAAATTATTCCTTATCTGAATATTCTTAATTGCTCAGGAAATAAACCATTACTTTCAGGCATTATGTCTGTTTTAAATATAATCCTGTTGTAGGTCATTTCAGGAACTCAGACCTTATTTATTTTATGGATTATTAGTAGGTTCAAATCTCACAAATACCATGTGTTGTAGGTACACTTTAATAAAGGTGTCTTGGTTTACTTCTAGTTTTGTGCCTTTTCTTTTGCAGGCAGTGTACATTGCACCCTTGAAAGCACTCGTCCGTGAGAGGATTGAGGACTGGAAAGTAAGGATTGAAGAAAAGCTTGGTAAAAAGTATGTTTCTCCTTACCTAATCAGAGAAATGAGAAACAAAAGAGCAGCTCATCTAGTATGAGTAAAATCTCAAAATACTTATGAGTATTTCAAAAAGGGTTTTGGTTTTATACTGTCCTTCAAATTTCTAGTACTTGAAAAGTTCTATCAATAGTCACTGACAGATCAAAACTGAGATCAAAAATGATAGATCAAAAGTGATAGATCAAAATCAGAACTAAGAAAGGGATATGCTTTGATACCCAGCTATTTTCGTTCTTCTTCCTTGTCAGTATAAAAAATACAAAGCTCAGATTTCACTCCACAATATCCTTGGAAATTGAAAATGTAAGTCAAACTAAGCTCTCCTTAGAAACCTCAGCTGCAAGGAACATACAGGACTTGCATGAACTGTATAATAGTAGTTACACTATGTCCTTCATATATAAATTAATATAATTTTATTCCTTGGTAACATTAATTTCTTGCTGATCTTCCCAGGTGTTGGAGTTCAGCCATTACTTTATGATCTGTAAGGTATATCAGTCATGTTGATGCTTTCCAAAATTATAATGTCCTGCATTAAATTTTTTATGCATAGAATGCATTATTTAGGGCCTTCACCTTCTCCAAATACAGTCTTTTTCCTAAGTTAAGCTCAAAGCACACCACAAGAGAAAGAGATGCTGCTCTGTGTCCATGAAATTATCAGTAATATTCCTGTTGTTATCACAGAAATGAGTTAAAATATTTTATGGTACTATTTCTTTTTTTGTAATTTACAGTTACTTGTGACTATAATCTTTTACAGAATATACACATTACTTTTAGGAATTTTTGTTTTATGTTCAACTGGGTTTGGAATATGTCATTGAAATGTCTAAAACCCATTATAATGGATCCATCTAAAATGATGGGTCATCACAAATGCTGCAAACAATTGGAAAAAATCTGCTAATCTTCTTCAAAAAGTAATCTGAGGCTAATCTCTGCACCAGTCTTAATGGACCTTCACCAACAAATGCAATACACACTGCAATTTAGCCTTATTATTCAAACCAGAGATCCATGCAGAACAGCAGGCAGCAACTTGGTAGCCTCCATGAAAGCTTTCATCCTGTCTGTGACAGGATGTTATGGTTCACATTACATCATACCAGTATTATGTTATCTTCATTTTGAAGAACTAACTGTTGGTTGGGACTCATATTCTTCCTTTTCTTTCTATATCGTTTTGCTAAAGAATGATATTTGGTATTTATACAGTATTTACTAGGAAAACAAAGAGGCAGGTTTATTTACTTAAAACAATTTTGAAAATCCTATTAAATGTATTTGGCAAGAAGGAAAATTACTTTGCTTAATTTTGTTTCTTCCCTCTTTTAAGAGTTTCAGTTATAAAGGTGTAAATATTTTAACATTAAGATGTTGTAAAGCTTTGTAAACCAAGCCACTGTCCTTCTTGATTACAGGGTTGTAGAATTGACAGGAGATGTGACTCCTGATATGAGAGCTATTGCCCAAGCTGACCTGATTGTTACTACCCCAGAGAAGTGGGATGGTGTCAGCAGAAGCTGGCAGAACAGAAGCTATGTTCAAAAAGTTGCCATTCTCATCATAGATGAGATCCATCTTCTAGGTGAGATGTTTCACTGCTTTTGATCAGAATCACTGCTAAATTTGAACAAGTGTGCTGGTACTTATGATGTGAATATACTTCTTGACATCTGAACCTTTCCTTTTTCTCTGTTTTTCCATATACTTTTCATTTACTAGGGGATGAGAGAGGCCCAGTGTTGGAAGTCATTGTGTCTCGAACAAACTTTATCTCGTCTCACACTGAGAAGCCAGTAAGAGTGGTTGGTTTATCCACTGCTTTAGCAAATGCCAGAGACCTTGCTGACTGGCTAAACATTAATCAGGTATGAAAAAATTTTTCATGCAGGAAAACAAAATAGCAATTGGTAAGATAATTCAAGGTTAAACTTGAAACAAATCTTCTCTTGTAGATGGGTCTGTTCAACTTCCGACCATCGGTGCGCCCGGTTCCTCTGGAGGTGCACATCCAGGGCTTCCCTGGCCAGCACTACTGTCCTCGCATGGCCAGCATGAACAAACCTGCTTTTCAGGGTAAGCAACCAGCTCCTAGACCTTTTCTTCCTTTCTCTAATAGAAAAAGGGACTTTGCATAGTTCATTTGCAGCACATTTGCAACATGTGTTAGTGTATGTACTCTTGGCATGTATTGGGAGAATCTGCTCCGCTAATGGCCCAAAGATATTTGTCTGAAACATAAAGTGTGCTGCAAATGCAACATGTAAAAGAGGAATGTAATGTATTTAGAACAGAAGAATAAAATTAGTGTTAGTGAAGGGGAAATAAAATGTGTTTTCTCTTAGTGTTTGACACCAGAAAGAAATATTCGTGTAAAAATATTGGAAATTTAGAAAGCAATAAAATCATTCATATTATTAATCTGCTGAGGTATTTTCATATGGACCACTGCATGTTAGCATTAAAAAAATTGTGAACAGAAGTTGCAAGTCAGGCTAACCTCCTATAATTCTAGTTTCAAAGCAATAACCATAAAATTCAAAATTTGTAGTGCATCCAGATATGCTTCTGTTTCCAATTTTTTATTCTTAACCAAGCTGGCAAGCAGTATAGATTTAAGAAAAGCTCTCTTGTATTTTATTTGAACATGTTTTGTTTTGGTTACATAAGGATTATTTATTATATCAATTAAAAATAACCTCCAAAATAAATTTTGTGGTGTGAACTGCTGTTGATTGTGAGGTGACATTTGTGAGGGGACTTTTTAGCTGCTTTAATTAGCCTTATGACAGAAGCAAAGTATTGATTGTGGACTAGAGACCAATCTTGACAGCTCGGATTATTTACACCTCCACAAGAGTGTTGTACAAAAACACTAATGAACAATAAATCTGTCTTGGGCTGTTCTGCTACACCTGTTCCTGAAGCAACAAAAATCCATTAGATGCTGGTCTTTTAAAATATTTAGATATATTGGCATATATAGTTGTAAGGTATAAATACACATGAATTTTCCCATTTCAATAATTTCATAACTGCATTGTGTGTGTACATGCAGGAGCACATGCTGGGTAGTGTTCATGAACTGAAGAATAATATGTGCTGGTGGGCAGTATGAAATAGTTTTCAGAAATTAACAATACATAAATTTAATTGCTTGAATGAGAAGTACATGAGAAAACACACAAACGGATTTATAAGTGCTTTAAAGAGAGTATTTGAAATTCTAGGTACACCTGTTTATACTTCTAGTGCTTGTTGATTTTAGAAAATATGTATAAATATGATTTATTGCACGCTCTGTTCCGACTTGTTTGACATGATACAGTCAAGGTTATTTTAGCATTTTCATGGCAATACTTATTCCTGAGACCATAAAAATTTCCCTGCAACCAGAAACTTTTCAAAGATGGGCTGAGCAAGAAAATGCTATTTTAAAAAGTCCTAAAACCTAATTGGTTTGAATATATCATAATTGGTTTAAATATATTGAACTAGTTAGTTGGCACAGAAACCAAGTTCTCTTTTACTGTAATGCCTGCTTTCACAGCAGCTATTGAAAAGTCACTTTCTGCTTTTTTTCCCTTTTCTGATATTGGTAGATTGAAGTGATCCTCTGTAGGCTGGCATGAGTTTACGCAGCTCAAGCTCTGGGTCAGGCAGAAAGCAAATTTTAGACCTTCATGGCACTGAATCTGAGACAACATACCCCAACAGTGTAGAAAAAACATTAACATACTTTTTAGGCTGAGATAGAGAAATTCACAAGCTTGAAGTCTAGGAAGCTTGTCTAGATTTTGTGGTGCTTTGTTGGGTTTTTTTGGATAACTGGTTCTCTTAATTAGCATACAGTGTTCACTGAAGTAGCTGAAGACTCAGCCACATGTAGTTTTATGGCCTTTGGTTCAGAGGTGGTGTACTCTCACCTCATTTGAATCCATCCAGTAGAATAAAGGCTCAGTAGACATACCTCAATGTCATCTGCAGGGAGGTCTATCAGCTGCCATGGGATTGCAAAGAGAAACTCTCATTTTTGTCATTAAAGGGTCTAATTCTCAAATTCTGTTTTGCTCAACAGCAATTCGGAGTCATTCTCCAGCCAAGCCTGTTCTTATTTTTGTGTCATCCAGACGTCAGACAAGGCTCACTGCCTTAGATCTCATAGCTTTCCTGGCCACAGAGGATGATCCCAAACAATGGCTGAAGATGGATGAAAGAGAGGTAGAATCATTTTACCTTCCTCATTTGTGCTTTGCTTCTATCTTACTGATGTTTGTTTGAAAACAAAAAAAATTCATCTGAAACAAAAGAGTCGTTTGAGGGTAGATCTTGAAAGAGTTGTGCATATGCTGAATTTCCCTATGTATTAAAAGTAGGGACAGCATTAAGGCTATAGAAGCGTCTGTGCAAGAGCTGAACTTCAGAACACAAACTCTTTTATCTTTGTTTTTTCCTGCATATCTTATTAATGCTACTTCCATGGTCCCAGACAACATATATCACAGGGTGCAAGTCTTTGATACCAAGATAAGACAAAGACTAAAAGAAAGAGGGCTAGTGCTCTCTAAAGTTTACAGCTGGACATCTGTGACTTATAGATGTTAAGCTGAAATCTAAACCAAATCTCCTCTGGTGTTTTAAGAGAAAAATCATCCTTCTCATGAGATGCATTAAGTATATGTATTTGCATATATATCTGTGTGAATATATGTACCTATGTACATACATGCATCCATCTATATTCCTAGATAGATAGATATACTGCAGAACCAATCATTTAGCAATGCTTCAGTCTTGCATATCAATGAAATAAATCAATGATATAAAAAAAGTAAAGAAACCTTCTGCCAAGATTTTTTAAATATAAAGATTGCAAAGTCAAACACTTATATGTTAAACAAAGCTAGCAGAAAGACTTATTTTTTACTCTTTTTCAAGAAATATAATCTTTAATTACATTCACTTCTTTTTTTCAATCTTCTTTTGTTTACTGCAAAATGTGAATGATGGCTAAATAATAAACAACCTTTCAATATTCTCTTTTATCTGTATTCTTCAAACTGTATACCAGATTATATTTAATTCACACAGTTAAACACCTGCTCTGAATGCAGTATTATTTATTTTACTCTGCACTAGTGGTCCTGATTATAGTATATCATTGCTGCAAAACAGGTTTTTCTGATCAATACTCAGATTTACTAGATTTTGGATTTATTGCAAATCTTCTACTAGGAATTTCTGTGATAATTTATGATCAAAACACAGCAAAATGCAGGAACCATAAATATAAAATCCAAGTTGAATATTGTATGGATATTTTTATGTCATATATATATGAATATAAATATATCATATAAATAGATCATTTATATATAATATTATACAATTATAAATATTATATATCCAAAAGCATAAGTTTCTAGATTATATTATTTGTGTTTGTTTGCTCTTTGCCGAAAAATTAAATGAGATTTCCCAGAGATAAAGCATAACATCTTTATCCTTTCTGTTTTGGATGGATTTTAAAATAGAAAATGGCCATCTTGGCTGATAAACCACTATTACTAAAGCATATCTCAACTTGATGGTGCTTTTCTAGCTGTATATCCTCTATTTAATGTTTTCTTGAACCTAATAGAAACATTTTATATCCAAGTTGTTATTATTACTTAGTAGAGTACGCTAGTACCTTGTAGGGGTTTACTGCAGTAATCTCACCTAGAATTAGAATATGCACTGTGCAGCTTGCCCTAAATGACTTGCATTATTATGGATAGTTTCCCCAAGTCCTGGGAGCCACTGCTATTCTGAAAAGAACTATAACTGAAGCTTCTTCACTTGCTGGAAAAGGGTTTTCTATTAGGAGTCTTTGAATTTCATGTTTCAGAATAAGCCTCTGAAGGTTTTGAAATAGGAGCCAACAAGGACAAGCAGACTTTGCATTTATTAGTTTAATAACATTTGCATATGATTTGTATTTGAATTAATAAGCTGAATGTTTGGAGCATGAGATACCTACCAAGTTACTCAGTTCTGATTACGTAAATGTAAAAGACTGAGGATTAAGTTCTAAGTTGTTATATCTTACCACTATTATGCAGAACACAATTCTGTTTGAAGTACCCACAATTTCAAGTGGACATTTCTTTGGGCAATTATGGGCCTAGTTTGTAGTTTTGTGTTTTAAATGAGCACAATTAGCCTGAGTTTCATTTGACATTGAAGCAAAGGACAAAGCTCTAGTAGTGCTACATACATCGTATATATCCTACCCAATTTTTTTTATAATAATCTAATAATAATAAAAACTAATCATAATTTAGGGGGTTTAAATTTTAAAAATTTAATCTCAAGTAATATTAAAGTCAGAATTAAACAGGAAATAGACAAAATTCTCTCCAGACCACTATAAAACTCCTTAAGTTTGAAAAGTAGAACTAGCAAATACTTTATAGCAGGCATTCCATGTCTTAATCCCTTTTCCAAAATTTCAGTTTTGGAAATTTTCTCAGTTTTGGAAAGTTTCTCAATTCCATATGGGATTAAAATGGACCAGTCAGAAGAATTAAATTTTGTTGCCTTTTAAACAACATTTTTTTTTCCTTTCAGTTTTTCACATTTGGGGGGTTTTTTTGCCAACCACTATTCCTTTAGGGGGATTTACAGATAAATTACTTTATTTTCAAAATAGATGTAATTCTTAACTGTCAAGTATTTTGAAATATAAGAGATTTTTCATGGGTGTATAGAAAGTTAGCAAGCTGTATCTCAGACCATGGCTTTTTTCTTCAGTCGGCCTTAATACATACTATACAAAATATTAATTTTGGCTGGCATAAGATTCCTTTGAGAACTCATTAGTAAGTTTTGTTTAATGGTTTAATTGGGTTTGCTACATGATGGCTAAAAGTTCATCTGTTTATGTGACCTTCCCAGTAGATTTCTTAAGGCTTCTTGAAATGTTCTAAAACAATGCCATCCGTAATAACTTCTAAACGACTGATGTTCAGGTAAAGACAGATTCTTACAGCCATTAAATACATTTTTTCTTTGTTCTTCTTTGTGATGGTATCAGAGAGATTCAGGCCTTGTGGGGAAGAGACTGGAATGCAGCAGAGACCAGTACTGAGTCTTTGTGAATGTGCTGTTAGCAATACTAGATCTTTGTTTATCAGCTATGCCATCATGTTTGCTTCACTCATCTTCTCTGTAGAGATTCTCTCTCTGGTGGTAAACCAGGCTCTTGTTTGAAGCTTGTGATGAATTATTCTGTTCACAAACTTCCAGGCTGCTTTTCACAGTACTCTCAGAGAACAGGCAAATCCACTTCCAGGTCTAAATATCAAATTCAGGCAGCATATCAATCAGTTATATTTCAAATGACATGAACTTGCATGAACCTTCTGGAAAACATATTTGTATGTATAAGTGACATACAGAAACAACCCTTCAACTGTTGCCACCAAAGTAGATAACAGCTTGCCTGGATCATGGAGGAATCATGCAAGATGTTCTTTCCCTCAAAGGAGTCATTATCTAACAGGTGCAACTGAATTATGCTCACGAAGGAATTTTGTTATACAGGCATCTATTGAAAAATAGATATCTTATAGGCAGCTTCATTAGGTTTTGGGAATGGTTCTTCCTGGACATTTTCCTTGAATTTCATGTCTGATATGCAGGGTTTGGCTCGTACCCATTGCAATATTCAGAAAGTTGAAAGGCATTCAGAAAGCTGAGACAGCAGTCAATCTTCATAAATCTGGCCAGTACTTAATGAAAATTGTTGTTTCTAGTATTGCTCAGTTTTGCAGCTCTGCTGGGCCTGTTGCTGCATTAAAATAGTTAAATTTGTTTCATAGATTCTATCCAACTAAGTTTCAGGCTCTGTGCATGCTTTTTTGTGAAGAAATGGCCACTCAGAGACCTGATGCATTACATATACTTTAGTCTTACCAGGGAAGTCTCCAATGATGTTTGAAATACCATACTTAGCAGGATTTGTAGCTGGTGCTTTAAAGCTCACCCCTACATTTTCCAACTGCACATGCAGACATTCTTCAGGATTTAAGCAACATTGCTACAGTTCATCCAGAGTATGAGTGGGCAGTCTCTAGGATAAAAAGAATAGTTCCCTTTAGAGCCTTCATGAGGTTTTTTAATTCTTCTGTAAGTTGCATTGTCCATATGCATTCCAAAATTTCTCTCTCTTGCAATGTGCCCCAAGACTGAGTTTATTTTTCAGCAAAGACTGGAGAAGCAGCAGCAGAAGCTGTTTTCCTTGCCATCTGCAATAAAAGCAAGGACTCTTCATTACACATCAATTTGTAAAGATTGTCCTGGTCATGTTTTTGAGGCACAGGTGCATCATGACAAGAAATGTGAATGGGCAGTGCATCTCAAAGAGGAGACTGCATCTGTAAATAGAGTGGTTCTTCATTTCTTTCTCTTGTTCTTTGATGCCAGCATGCCCATGGAAAAAGAAAATGTTATGCTTACCCTGTTTTTTTTGTATAATCATTAGAGGATTTTTAATTATAGACTTACTAGCTGAAATTCTAATTTGGACTTGTCAGCCAGGACTGTCATGTTCAAGCTTGTGAGCCATTACTTATCTTGTTAAAAGGGACAATAGCTCAGATTATCATTTTGGAGACAGACAGTGCCACCAGTTTCTGCTGGTCAGCTTGGGTAAGATCAGTTATACTAGTCTACATTAGGAGCTGACTGAAGAGGAGCAAGTCCTTCCCTGTCACAAATTGCATCTACATCTGTGGTGGCAGAAAATGTTGCAATCTTTTTACAACATAATTTATTAGAATCAAGTTTTCAGTTTATTTATTTTTCTCTAATGTTTTTATAGCCTTTTGTTTTTTAACCTAAAACAAAAGTACAAAAGTAGTATTTATGGTTTATTGTTTGAAGTCAGAATGCATTTCTCACCAGCAGACAAGCAGGGTGTTTTCTTATTTGTTTGGTGGAGTTTAAAAATTTATTCCCTGTCCAGATACTTGGATTTATTTTTCTTTAATATTTACAGTGCAAGGAAGGAGAAGAAATGTACCAGTGTATATAGTTTTAACTTTAACCACAATGGTTTTTGCATTCTGTTTTGTGCATCCTTTGGCCATCTGCATCTTGTTAAGACTGTTCTTTATGAAACCTCTAGAAATAGCTAATATCTTCTAGCACAAAGATACCTGCAGTAATATTCAATAACATCCATATCAGGCAATAGTTTGCTTCCACAGAATTCAAAGGCCCTTGAATGAAGGACATTCATTGACTCCAGAAGAATAAATCAGAGCAATCCTGATTTTGCTATTTTATGCATCTGAGTGTATAAACATGTGTGCAATAATTATGGATTAGTATGTGTGTATTTGTGCACTATGTGGAAATACACATAGCTGTATGTGTGAAAGGGAATTAAATTTTATCAATAGCCAGTTTGCATTGTTAATAAAAACAAAGAAAAAAGCCAAAACCAACAAAAAAAATCCTAAAAATTCTTGGAAAGACAAAAGATGGCTTTTCCTTCTCTAACCTTTAAATCAAACAACCTATTATCTCCATGTTAATGTTTTGAGGTAATGTTGTGCTATAAAACAGGAATAGAAGAATCTGGTCTGTGTCATGAACAGGCATATTGCTGTCATTTAAATGTGTCTTTTAGTGTTAAATGTTTTATTATATTATTATTCTTTAATATATTATTATATATTATTAAATATGATTTAATGATATATCTCAACTGTTTAAAACACATTTTAAAATGTTCCTTGAATATTATTTGAGGTTTTTTTAGGCAGCTTGTTCTGTGTGGGATAGCTCTGCAGTATAAGCCAATTCTTCATCAAAAATAATTTTGTGAGTTTTTTTTTCCTGCCTTTAAAGATCAGGAGGGTACCCAAGAATGATTTCTAAGTGTTTCAGTCATTCTAGAAGTTCAACTTCCTTCTACAAGATGTTGGTTTTATGACACAAAAGTGTGTCATAAAAATTAACATTTAGTTATAACAAGGAGATGTTTTTATTTCACTTAACATCTGTAGCAGATGTGAAATATGTAATTATTTTTGTAAAATACTTCATAACTTTCACGATTCTTTTGTTTGGCAGATCTTTCTTCTATTGGGCATTTTAGACAATTGATAAGCATTATTCAGTGGCATATGGTCTGAGTCTGACGTGCTTTGAAAAGAGTAGAGAGTACTAATAATGAGGATTCTGTGAAAATGGGAAAACCAGCACAACAGATATGCTTTGAGAAAGTATGGGGTTTTAGCATCTTGAAACAATATATCACACTCAAAGGGACAGAATTGGGCTGCACAATCTGTTAGCTCATTCTTGTCCAATCTGGTCTCCTCCTTTCTTTTGGAGCCAGCATTGTCATCAACTTGCTGAATTATACTCTGACTGGAATGTATTTCAGGCACAGGGTAATGTATCTGCTTAAATGGAATCCTATCTTTCTACAAAAGCTTTTTAAGTATAATAAATTTAAAATATAAAAAAAAAGTTCTATTAGCTTAAAGTAAATGGTTCAACAGTTTACATATGTGCAGGAACAAAGAAAATGACTACTTAGTAGTTTGACAAAAATCTGGTTTGTTTAGAAATAAGAATAGAAAATGTAGAAATAAAGTTTATTTTAAAATATTTTGCAGTGCTACCAGGTTCCCAAATTGGTTTTCAGAAGATATTTTAATTTATTCATCAAAAAAAAAAAAAGCTAAGAAAGATAGCCAAACCTTTCAGCCTGTGCCTGATCCTGGTTGTGTATGAGTCCAGGGAAAAATCCTTTCCTGGCATTAAGTTCCCTGCATTGGTGTTGTACAGGGCTTTTTATCATGCCAGTACAATTTGTATTTCCTTTTATTATTTTAATTTTTTTCTTTTCTTAAGATAACATAGATTTCATTTATCCTTCTGTGAGTAAAACTACAAGACAGTTGTTTTCAGAAAGATAAGTAGTAATTGAGTCATAACAATTCAGAAATGTTAGATTTGTTTTATAGTCACAGTGCTGTGTCTGTTTCTTGTTAATGAACCTATTAATTGTGCCATTATTTCTTAATAGAAATTTATAATATTCTTACACTACACTGACAAAAGGGAGTTACATTTTTAAATAATTGACATGAGAATTTTAAGCCTTGGATTGTGCCTATGGGTAAAACAGTTATGTTTATTACAGTGATTTATGTGAAAGTAAGGGGTCAGCTAAAAATGACTAGGATTCCCTGCTGCTAAAATGACAGGATAGCAGTACATGTGCCAGTGCTCCTGCTAAGGGTTCTTTAGTTTTCCTGTGGTAAATTACACAGCTTTGCAGGTATGACTAACAGCACCACAGGCCGCCGCTGTAATACGAGTCAGAGGGGAAAAAAAATAACCACCACTGATTGTAAAAGCAAGAAGAACATCTTTGAATAAATTCCCAGCAGCGTGAATTTAGGATGTTTTGTGCTGGCAGCTCTATGGCAGAAAGGTTTAGCTCAGGTTGTGTACTGGAAATAGCTCCCAGTGTAAAACTGTGTGTGCTGAAGGAACAGTCTAATCACTAAGCCAAATCAGCTAATTTGATCCCTGTACTGTTCTAGAGGAAACGGGAGTTTAGATTCATTATTTTCCCAATATCATGTTCTTTTGATGTGAATAATGAAATTAATGTCTTTGGAATTTGCTTGTTCCCTTACGTTAAAGACATAACTGTCATAAGGTGTTGATTCTTGGTGGGGAGAAGAAAAATTAATTCAGCCATTAGATTCTTTTGTCAATTCTTTAATGCAGAAACTGACTAAAATCTAAATGCTTTTTTTTTGTTTGTTTTTCACATATTTACCAATTTTGTTTTCTATTTTTTTCATTCTAATTTCCTGTTCAATGTATACATATATTTATTATTTCTTAAAGTGTGTACATAGGCAAAAGGAGCCTATGCAGTACTAGTACCAATTAATAAACCTGCAGTAAAAAAATCATTAATAGGTTTGATAATATTTTTAGTATTGCATGTTGATGGTCATAATTGTAGAGAAAACAGTATGTGTGTTCCCATTTTATCCAGATATTTTTTAATCTTAAAGAAAAACTCTCTAAGATGGGTCATAATTCATGTTGTCTACACTGAAGTCACATGTCTACATGTTGACTAGAGAAATCAAAGGTTTGGTGATTGTATCTAGATAGATAAACTTTATCCTTTAACATATCCTCCTTTCATTCATCTCTTTATTCTCTTCGACTTATCTACCCTGCTTCATACTTCCCTTTCCTAAATGGACTTATCCCCTCTTCACTTCTCAATTCATTTGGTTTTTTTCTTTCTGCTCCCTTTTTTTTCAGTATTTCATGGACCCTTCCACTCTTGTAAGCAGCCTTTTATTTTATATGTGCTAGATCAGTTTATACAACAAACCTTCCATGTCTTACAGTACAGGAAACTCTCAGGAACATCCAGCCAACTGCATTGTGAGGGGAATTAAAGTTTAGGAGCTTCTATTGACAGATGAAATTGATTGATTTGTCAAAAGTTGAACAATTTCTTGTTTTAATTAGTTTCCCTGTTACTGCCATCAGTTGTGGTTCTGTTAGTCAAGATTACTTCAACAAATAGACTTTTTAAATGCTTTGCAATTTACTCTTCCTGACAAAATTGATTGATTTACAAAATCTTGTTTGTTTGTTTTAAAATCCTCAATATGAGCTGTTATATTCTGTAGATATTTTGGTGCCTTTTAAGGATTCTCAAGTAGCAACATGTTACTTGACTCTAGAGATGTGAATAATTTTATTTACATTAAGGTCTGAGAATTATAAAACACAGGAAATATTTAGAGAGGTTACAATCTTGAACATCAGAAGTGAAACACCTCAGAGTCCTACATAGAAGTGAAAATATCACTGTAGTCATGTGATGCTATCATGTCTCAGTCCTTTGGAGAACTCAGTCTGAGGTGAGGCTGAACACTGTCCAAATTATTCAGTTACCCTGACTAATTTGTTCTGCACTACTGTTTTTTCTCTAACCTTGGCTATACCTCCCATGACCATGAATGATTCTGCCCTAAGTATGCAATATCATGATGCCACTGCTGGTGGCACCAGGAAACCACTAATAAGAGCATAAATTTTAAAGTTCCTGGCTATAATTATATTAAAATCACATAAAATAATAAATGGCCTTAGAAATAAAACAATACAAATAATTTTGAAGGGCAGAATAACTTAACAAGACAGTTTCATTTGTTTTTACTAAGAGGCTTTTCACAGAGGTCATCTACAAAAATAAATAAGTTTATTATAAAAGTTATGACTTGAAAATGTAGGCAAAAAAGATAGTTAAAATTATAGTAGTAAAAAGAATCCCAAAAGTCATTGACATCAGATTTGAAATAATTAGTAATAATAATAAAAATAGCTTTTTATCTGGACTTCTGAAAGTTTTAAATGAACACACTTAATAGATGTTGAATTTCACTGAGTTTGAGTCTATAAATTACAAACTCACACTCAAAAAAATTTTCAAATTAATTTGTATTTCAGCCCGTAAATAGAAAGCTTGCTATTTTTCATTTTGATGAATAATAACTGCAAAATTATCAAACTGAGGAATAATGTTCAATGTTCTAATGTTCAAAGGTATTAGAGAGAGCCAAATTTATTTTTCATGACTGTTATTATGTTACTGGTTGCAGGGATTTGCTATGTTTTTATACCAGTCCTAACCCCTTTGATACTAGGGATTGCATTAAACAAACACAGAACAGAATGCACGGTATTTGCCAGACCTGTCAAGATATTTTCAGCATTTTCATTTCCTTGTCTGTGTTACTTAGCATGTCAATAAAGTCATGTGCATTTTGTATTCCACCCCCATTGTTAATATAGTATTTTTTTTAGACAAATCTTGTCTTTTCAGAGACTGAAGAAGGCTCTGATTTCCTGCCTGTATAAACAGCATAAAGCATTTTATCATTGCTACAAAAACAAAAAAAATAAATATAAGAAACCAAAAAGTTTAAAATTTCTTAGTAATCTGTTTTAAAGCATGCAATTATTCTTTCTGTTACAGATGAATGACATTATAGTCACAGTTAGAGATTCGAATCTGAAGCTGACCCTTGCTTTTGGAATAGGCATGCACCATGCAGGTCTGCATGAAAGGGACAGGAAAACTGTGGAAGAATTGTTTGTGAACTGCAAAATCCAGGTACATGTGTTCTTTTTGAATCCTGCTGTAATGAGTTTTACATGGAATTTTAAAAGTTGGCTTTTTGTTACATATACCTCATTAATCTTTCTTTTTGTCTTAGGTTCTTATTGCCACAAGCACATTAGCTTGGGGTGTAAATTTTCCAGCTCATTTAGTAATTGTTAAAGGAACAGAATACTACGATGGAAAAACAAGGCGTTACGTGGATTATCCCATTACAGGTACTCACATAAATTATGGAAATGTTCAAATCCTAAAATGTATTTCAAGCATATGCAAATGACCTCAATTATTTAGTAACTGAATTTGGATAAAGACTAGGAGAATGAGGTAAGGTTTTTTTTCTTTGTTTAATGCAAGTTGTAAGAGAACTCTTAAGATTTTCTGCAATAATGAAAGTGTTTCTGTTTCGTGAATCTTTTTTCATGCTAAACTCCTTTAATGTGTATCACCCAAAATAGACATTAAACAATTAAAGGGACAGTATAAAGCTTAGTCTCTGTATCTAGTTAGCTAGGTAATTGTATAAAAGGAATTTTTCAAGCGTTGAGGTTTTTTTAATTTCTTAAACCTTTTCTAAATAGAAACAAATCTTTAACAGTAAACTTAGCCATGGTTTGAAATGCAACAGTTGAATCACACACGTATGAGAAAATAAAATGCATATATAGTCACTACTTAAGGTAGCAAATGAAAAACCTTAACTGGCCTGGTATCTTCAGTGATATAGGAGATACTTCAGAAATAAGCAGCTAAATTAAATATTTGAATTTCTGGCTTGATACAGACTTTCGTTGCTTTCTGGCTCCAGTAAACTCCAGTTTTCATAAACCATTCTGCAGTGTTTTCAACAAGCTGAAGAAAGTGAACCATGGAAGAACTATTTTAGAGTTCAGACAGGGAGAATATTTGTCTGGATGGTACTAAGTTTGAAGAATGAGGACAAGCTAAATTTATTCCAGGTTTCCTGTTCTGTTTTCCCTTTCTCTTTTCTGAAAAGAAAGTTTATTATTAAATGCTCCTATACTACACTAGCAATGTGTACACCTCAGGACAATCTAAATGGTATTTGTTAGGTAAGTACAGAGCTTGCATCTTTTTAGCCATGCACTGTCTTTTCATTGAGAGAAGTTTCGTAACATAAAAAAAGCTCAAACTGAAAATACTAAAGGGGTTACTTCTTCAAGTAACCCATCACAGAGCTTCATTTAGTGGTTAGTGCTCTGCAGGAAACTTGGGATCAATTTCCAGACCAAACTCTCTTTTTTAAAGATTCTGGTCTGACCTGGGATCTTAGCCATGCACACTTGTATTTTGTGACAGCCTTTGGCTGATGTAAACTTAGTGAAAGCAGTGTCTGCAGCGAAGCCGTGTCGCACTCGTGCCGACTGGAGAGCGGCGGCGATCGTTTATTGCTGAACGGGGAAAAGCGGCAAGGGAAGAAATCAACGGAAGCTTTAAATTTTGTGTTGAATCCATGGCACTGTCAGAAATCAGTAATAGAGCAAATAATATATTTAAAAGAAATCAGAGACTCAATAAACAGTGCAGACTTACTATGCTGTTGTAGGAATCTGTTGTACAAGTTCACACAAAGGCTTCAGGGAATGCTGATACTTTCACTCTTTATTACCATTCTTCAACACTGTGTGTTGTTCAATTCCTGAATCTTCAGTAAGACTTAGGGCAGGGGAGGGGGTGGATGGAATACCACCATCTGTGATGGAAGCATTCAGATTTTGTTGTCTGCACTGCAACAGAAAATGCAGATTCCTTATTTTATGAAGAAACATGTGGTGTGGTTTGCCTAAAGCATTTTTATTTTTAACTTTCTAGAGAGTATTTATGCATCTGGAACTTCTGTGGATAGGTAGTACAGTTTTGCTGCAGCAATAAAATGAAAATGTAATTAATTCCTTTCTGAAATACTTCCAAAAGTTTCACAATACTGTCTTTAATGCTGCCCTCAAGTTATGCCTTCAATGTTCCATCATGATATTACTTGGCTTCTCCCTACTAAAGTTACCTTTCTGTGTCAGGAATGCATTTGGCTCCAAGAAAACAGCTGAGGGCAGAATGAATCATTCTGGGGTGTACAGCAATTTCAAAATAAGTAAGAATGCTTCTTTGAGTGAAGTCAGAGGTTTTGGGGAGGACTTTTTCTCAGTTAACAGTCATTTATTTAGTCAGCAGTTGGATCATATTTAATATTTCAGGAGTTTAGTCCAGTGGTTAAAAGCAGCCAAGCAACATATAGTCAGTAAAGAAAATATTGAGTTTGGATAATTACATAGTGGATGTTGGCAAAAATAATTTCCTGACACTTTTTGGTAAGTCCATTTCCTATATGGTATTATGCACAATTTAATCACCACACAGAATAGCAAGAGGTTGTTCATCACCCTCCTGTGCACACAACTATTCAGAAGCAGCAGATTTAAACTAGTTTCATTTTACATCTTAATGTCACTCCTAAGCTGATAAAAGGAATAAACTGATAAAAAACATTGCTTTCTATACGCAAGTCAGTACACAAGTGAATAAAACTCACAACTGGGCTGTCTGTTTCTCCTGTTATGGTCAGTTGATGTATCTCATTCTTTACTTTCTGGAGTTTCCTTCCTCAAAAGAGCTTTGGGCCAAAAGCTTACTGATTATTAACTCAAATCACTTCAAAATGCCAGGTGCTGCAAGCCACATACTGGGCAGGTACAATAGAGCTCATACAAAATACAAAAAACATTAAAACTTGTAAAATAAAGATGTAAAACTTATGTATTGCTTTCCATTATTTCTTCTAAGTTAAATAGCAGTTGCAGGTACCAGAAGGACTCAGAGCCATGGTGAATGAGGCACAAAGCTATCTATGCAGATGCACTTCTCATATGAAGAGAAAACTAACAAATACATGATAAGCATGCTTATCCTTGTGGGCAGGTAGCCAGTTGAGTATGTTTTGCATAAACTAGTATTTTCAATGTTTACTGAAGTCATTAATTAGTATTTACAAGTAATGGTGTGCAGGTAGTGTGTCTGAGCCAACTTTTAAATCTGTATATTATGATGTGATATAAGGAAAGCATACAATATGAAACCATCTCAATGGTTATATTAGTTACTAGCACTCCAGTGCTAATAACTAATATAACTTGTTTAAGTGGTAAATATAAAATAGTTCTCAGTAATTAGAAATTGAATATGCTATTTTTATCTCTAAAGTAGTCAAAACCTAGGAAATCATATCTAGCAGAAAAGCCTACATGAGGAACTTGTGTAAGTGTGAAGTCAAGTATTTAAAAATTAGGAAATGATAGACAATTGTCATTGCAGCCTTCATGAGTTCTCTTATACATCATCTTTAATTGCATGTGATAAAATGAGGATGGATGTGGAATGGAAGGAGTGTAAAGGCAATTTATATTAGATATAATCCTAGATTGTATTGCAATGGGTAATCTTTAAGTATACACGAAGATTGTCTCTGACAGAAAGAAGTTCATCATAACTTTATCTGAGATGGAAAAAAAACTTAGAAATGTCACAGCCAATAGGGCATACAAGGCCAAAGTAATGCAAAAAACTATATTGCACATTATACAGACATAAACACATTTGTTTATACATCCAAACAAATATTTGATTTATACATTATTGTCTCTCTGGCAGATGTGCTTCAGATGATGGGGCGTGCTGGCAGACCACAGTTCGATGACCAAGGAAAAGCTGTCATTCTAGTTCATGATATTAAGAAAGACTTCTACAAAAAATTCCTTTATGAACCTTTCCCAGTGGAATCAAGGTAAAGATAAAGCAATCAGAAAAGCTGATCAAACTATAAGCAGTACTATAAATGAGGGATAGAGGACATGGAAACAAAATTCCTGTGCTGGATAAGTCCTAAACATTGGGGTCAAGAGGAAGACAATTTAAAAAAAGAAATTACGCATCTTTATGTAGAAAAATCCTTTTTTCCATGAGTTTTGAAGAACTGCTGAGCTAGTCAGTTCATTCCCAAATAATACCACAAGTACTTCTCCATTTAGGGGGTGTTGTCTCAGACATGTGAAAGCACAAACTGTTCTTCAAGGGCAGTGTTTAGGACAACTATCCATGATCCTCAAAACCCTCTTTGAAATTCTGTGGCAAGTTACTAATAGGAAAAAAGCAAGGTGAGTTCATAGCACTTTTTGCCTAGAATATTTGTATCATTATAGATAACGCATTCTGGAAAATCTCAAAAGTTCAAGAAGTTCAAAGTTCAAGTTTACATGGTGTAAACTCTTACTAATACAGTTTTAACAGATATTTCCCTATAAAATTGCAATATTTTTGTGAGAAGTGTAAAAACAGCACCAAACAGCCTCTTGGAACCTAGTTGATGCGAAGTTTGCTGTCCAGCATAATCTAATTTGTGCCTTGATTTTGATATTTTAACTTATTTAGTTGTTCACTGAGAAGCCAATCTAGTTACATTGGTCTCCTGTAGAGGAATGTTTCATGGAGCAGTGCTCAGAGATCTAATAAAGCATGAACATTTCTGAAAGCTTTTCTCAGTGGCAAAGAATTCACAGTATTGTTCTCCTAAGGAAACTTTATCCCTCAACATAAGTGATAATGGGACCTCTATCTGCTCAGGAAACTTGTTGGAGTTTGAGAGTGCAGTCCACCTTTGAAATGTAGTTGAAATGGCCTGGTGTATTTGAAACTTAATTTCTGTGGTGCACAGACAGACATACAATTTTTGCAAACAAAGAATGTGGAAACATACACTTCATTTCCTTAGGAAACCACACATTTTAACATAGAAGTTGCACTTAGCACATAAGTCTAGGAGTTTAACTTCTTCAAAATGACAGCTAATGAGTGAAAAGAGTGGTGTGATTAAAATGCTGATGATATATCCAGACTGCATGGCATTAGCATAAACTAAGAAATATTTCTTTTCCTTGGGAAGTGGTGTTTCTCAAGAAAGAAATCATATCTTCTTTATAACAGTAGTAATCACACTTTTTTTCATGTTTGGAAGACTACAAATACTCTATATTACTAGTAACTCCATTTGTGTTTCTATATTTACTTTGTAGTTCTGATATATTCCATCTTTTATTATAAAAAAAAAGAATATTTTATAAATTTGCATATGAAGAGTCACATATTAATAATAATCTTGTTAAGTTTTCTGTAGGTTGTAAACCACGTAACTTAGGTTCGTCTTGGTCTCTTTTATGATCAAGTATTTCATATCTTCAAAGGGATACTGGTTGGGATTTTTGGGGGCATTTTTAGTTATGGAATGCTTTCCCATCTGTTTTACCAAAGAGCAGATTTATCAGCTTTGTGTAGTATTTCCAATTTGTGAAAAGTAAACTTCATAGTTTTTTAATTAACATTTTTTCTAAAAGCCATTGTTTACATATTTAATTGTAAGACTTGATCACTGAACTCATAACAGTCTTTGTGCTCTCCCCGATTATGGGCCTGAAACCCGGCAAATTAGAAACAAAAGAAAATCCAGAAATCCATTCCTGTGGAATAGCAATTGAATCATCTGTCCAGCTTCTGTTGGACAATCTGTGTAGAACGCCTGCAGTTCTGACCCTTAGAAACATGCAGTCACCAGTACAGAGCAGTAAAACAGCTACTCATGCCAGATTATTCTTTACTTTTAGCAACAGGAAAAGAACATTGGGAGAAGAAAAAGGATATAATACAAGAAAAATTAAGCTGAACCTTAAGGATATTGGCTATTCTCCGATTGAACTCTAGCCAGGCATGATCTCATTAGATACCCTAATGGAGGTCTTTGTTCTGTTTAATGACTATTTTATTTTTTAAGAATCATTTTAATCTGTTTTTTTTTATTCTGTTTCTGGGTAAAAGTAGCTGCTCTTATTCTTTTTTTTTTTTTGGTTTTTTTGGATGAAGATGAGGCAAAATCTGGGGGAAGCAGTTTTGATGTAATTTTAATAGCCCTGAAGTATTTGTCAAGTATTAGCTAAGCTATTGCCACTGTTTCATTTCCTGTTTGTCTTTCCATATGATTCTCTATTGGATTAAATCAGCATGATCATATGGTCAACATACAATATTCAGAAGTTACCACTGAGTAGCTCCATCTGAATATGTTCCATGAATGATTTAAACTTGTGCATTCTTGGTCCAATCAAAAAATAATTTGAGCTTCATTCCACTATCATGTAAAGAAGATGACTGACCTTGCAATTACATTCCCCCTTCTTCCCCTCTTCCCTTTTACTGGAAGATAAATATATAATATTTTCAGATTGAAAGTAATAAACCTTTTAATGGACAACTCTACAAAATATATTACCTGTCTTTGTGATTGTAAAGTCAGCTAAATCCTTTTGTTTCCTGTTCTTCAGCTTGTTAGAGGTGCTGGCTGACCACTTGAATGCTGAAATTGCGGCTGGAACTATTACATCTAAGCAGGATGCAATGGATTATATCACCTGGACCTACTTCTTCCGTCGACTTATAATGAACCCAACGTGAGTATACAATATAAAGGCAATTTAATCTCAAGGTAACTTGAGGTTAGAGTTGATCCAAAGGTGATCTGTCTGCTGCTATTGGAGCCTAGAAATACTTCACAGTCTCCAGTGCAGGAGCATTGCTGGCCCACATGTGGATTAAAATTTGTGAGCACATATTTTTTATAAATTTTACTCTAAATATAAATGCATTTTTTGGCAGATAACTTTACAACATAGTTACAGCAATAAAATAACCTTATTGAGAGGGCTACACCAGCATCCCTAAAATAAAATTCCAGATTATCACATTCCTTTGGTTATTGTATTTATAATGCAATACCTTTTTTTTAGCTACCACATTGATATGTTCTGCTCAGTTTTCTTTAGAAAATTTATTAAGACTTGGACTTTCCTAATAAATGAGAGAATAACTATCAGCTGTTTCTCTGTGATAATGTTTGCTTTCATTAGGGTACCCTGGTGAAACCATGTGTGCAATATTTTCAGTGATTGCTATCATCCTGCCTAGCTCCAGCTGGTATGCAGATCATTCTGAGCTGTTCCACCAGTGTAGCCTGCCTTTGCCACAAGGCTGTTTTGGGTAAATGGTGTGTTACCTGTCATGTGATCATTCACCCACTAAAATAATCTGGCAAATAAAGAATTAACCATTTAGATCACTAAATATTTCTAGATGTACTCTAGTGCATTGTGTTTCTGAAATCGTGTTAATGTCCATAGCATTTGGCCAGATTTTCTGCCAGGTACTTTATGGGCAAGTGCTGCTGGGACCCTGCAGGTGATGAAATAATTTCCTTTCATTCTTTCTAAGTCTTTTATTAGTTTTTAATTCTGTATCTAGTCGTATGCTGAGAATCTCCCACAAAACAAACAGAATTTCTATCTTGTCTTCTTGAGAAATAAAAAATGCAGAGCATTAGAACTGTAAACTAAAGAAAGCATTTTCAATTTTCTTACTTTATAAGTGATACAATGCATACAGTTATGGGAAGGGTATTTCTCCTCTGAGAGTTAAATTATGATTTTTTTAAAATGTTATATTTAATACCTTTTTAGTATAAAGAATAAATACTATTCCTTTAAAATGTCTTGCTCTTGAATTGCTTTGGTAAAGTGCTGTAGTTGATTTGGTTTTGGTAAGCTTTGATCATGGGGTATCTGTGGTAGGTACATTTTTTTAAGACACAGCATATAGGCCAAAGGTAAGTGTGGAATATAGAAATATTGTTTCATTTAATAGGTAATCTCTTCCCAATATAAAAGAAGATTTCCATTTGAGTGTGAGGTTGGCATGTTGATTGCTGGTCAGTTTTTCTCAGCAGTTTCTTTATTGTCATGGACAGCTAAATCTGGAGTTATCACAATTTCAACTTCAAAGCAAAAGTTCTGCTATTCTGAGATGGGAAGAAAGTTGGGGGGGATGGGGGGCAAAAAAAAGGAACTTCATAATGTTCATAATGAGATGTAGAGTCTTTGTAGGGAGAACCAGGATGAACAGATCTTGACTAGTTATGCCCATAATGGCAGGGTAGGAATGAATAATGAAGTTTCTATTGAAATTGGAGTCTTGCATTGGAACACTACACAGACAGGTTGGAACAGTTGACAAGTTGAGCTCTTTATCCACACAGGTACTCAGCATTCCTTCTGTACTTAGTCATGCAGGGAAAAAAAATAAGGATATTATTTACTCTGTCAAACAGTTTGTCAAATCATTTCTAGATACCAAGCACAAATGTAATGGATGTGCATGCATTCCATTCTTTGACATGATTACAGTCTTAAGTTTCATCCAAAGTTACTAAACTTAGTTAGTAGTTTTCCTGGACCTGCTATCTGTGGTATTTTCAGACCTTCTGAAAGCCAAGCAAGCAGTTCCAGCATGGTCAGTGTTTGAATGAGATACATCCAAGGAAAACTGAAGAGTTTTACAAGGAGAAGTCAGTGATTGTTGAGATAACTCTGAATAAGTTGCATTATGGTAATGGAGTTTTACTGTGCCATAAAAGAGTATATGAAATGATTGATATTATCAAACAAAAAATATTTGTTGTTCTTAATAATCCAAATATTTTAGGATTTGGGTTGGGTTTTTGTTTGGTTTTTTTTTGGGTTTTTTTTGTTGTTTTTTTTTTTCAAAAGAATAGGAGCACAATTGCTAGTTTTTGGTCTAGATGGTTATGCAATACTCATTCCTTGTCACTTGACAGAAGTGTTCTTTATCATGTCCTGCCCCAAAGCAATTTTGTTGACTTTCTCTCCACTGTGAAACAAGACCTATTTTCCAGACAGCAGGTGATTGTACCTTAGTGGTGAATAAGTAATTCCCATATGCATTATTAGTAAAATGCCTTGGGATTCATTGGCATAAAAGTCATTGCATGTGATGGTGTAAATCCCCAAAATAATGGGCTTAGGTAATATGCAGAAGATTTATATTCTCATTTATTGCCAGTTTTAGCTACTTGTATATTAAAGCTGCATAAACAAACATAGGGTCATCCCATCCAATTCCAATCCAGTATCATAAAATTCCTTACTGAATGCCTGCAATTTGTACTATTGAAGTAATGGTAATCTACCTTTGTTGTGGGATAGAGATCCAAGTATCTTTTTCCTCTAAGTATCCAGGCTTCTTCTAAACATGAAGTCATCTTGAAAGTTTTCCTGGCAAACTTGAGATAATTTGTTAAACTTCTAATGATAGTTGTTTTAATGGTGTGGAAAATCATTGCATGTTAAAATACTCCTTTTCATCAAACCATTTTAATTTTCTTGTTTGATAAACTCCTGTTTCTCAGACTCTATGGAATAGGTTATAACTGTCTAGATAAGAGGGGTAATGGAGCTGTTACTTTGGGGAAGGAGGGAAGCTGAGTGCTAGTTTTTTTCCAATGCATGACAACTAGTCACGCTTGTCCTGTTTGGGAGATCACACATGAGTGACAGGGGTGGCCCTAATGAAATGTTTATCAAAGTGTTTCAGTCTCCAGATCCAGAGTTTCTTCCCTGTTCTTCCCTTCCCTGAAAACAGTTAATCCTAAGTGCAGAGCTTTTCACAGTTTCTGTGCTACCTCGGCCAAGGGGTGCAACATGTACTCCTTTCCACATGGAGCTGTGGTCCCTGTGTTCTTTACTTAGGCAAGGTCATATCACACAGATCAGCAAAGGGCCCTGTTCTTTGCAAGGGGCTACTTTGACAGGCTCATCTATCTCCATTCCTTTTCTGAAATGCCTTGGGTATTTCATTCTTTTACCCTTATAAAAGATTATAATTGTGACTTTCTATAAAAGAATGTCTATGAGAAATATTTTCTGTAAATCGGGTTATGATGTTTTCCAGATACATGTGCAGTAAAAGAGAAATAGAAATTTATAACACATGTAAAGTTAAGCAGAATCATCTTTCATTTGGAAAGTTAATTTTTAGATATCCTAAGAGCACACATCACATCACTATTAAAATGCATGTAAGTATTTATGTATTTATATGTGAGAGTGCATCTGTGTACATGTGCACACTTACAAAACCAGGTTCTATGTAAATTCCTTGTGAAAACCTGAAAAAAGATATTTTATTATTTCATTCTGAGAATTATTATTAAGGGGCTTTTTCCCTTGATATCAGTTTTGCAAAGTTTTTTGGAGTGAATGAATAATACAGCATAAATTATAGTCTCAGGCTGATGAAGCCCTTATCATACATTTATGTTTTACTTTAAATTACATTTTCTCATTATGATTAGCTGAGCATGTGAATAAAACATATGAATACAAATTATGGTTAAATGCTGCTCCAGTATATTTTCTGCTATTATGATGACAGGTAATATCATGGTAGAAGTCAGTCAGGATGAAATACCTATGTATTTTGGTGACATAATCACAGTTATTCAGAATTTTAGGGTTAATTTGGAAGTGTGTCAGAAGGGAGATTAGTGAAGTTAAATTAGCTAAGATTAAGAAATAAAATGGAAAATTTTTACAGTGGCTAGAATGTGCCAGTATATTGTACTGCAGTGATTACTAAAAACTAATATTTTCAATTGGTAAACAGATATTTCACACTGGACTTTGCCAAAGGACTCTTCCTTTCAAAATGACATTTAGACCTATATGCATGTACTGATATATATGCATGTATATATATTTAATAAATGACAGCTATAGGCCTTATTATGAATATGATAACAAGAGTTTGTTCTTTGGAATTATTAGGGTCACAGTGATGTGAAAAGTACAGGATTGTAGTTCACAGTATAGTTTTACCAAATATTCAGACAAATGAAGATTGGCTGAGTCTGTCAGACAGGAAAGCCCCAGGCTGCTGAGTATTTGAGCTGCCTCCTGCTTCCCAGTCTGCTGCAATCTTAGGTGAGAATACAAAGCTGAAGACTCCACATCTCTCCATCCAGAAAGAAAATTCACATTATTTTCTTCCTGTTCTTGGATATGATTTACCCGTAAAAATTATCTGTTGGAATATAGGATAGGAAAAAGAAAAATCTTTTCAATATGTGAGCAAATTTATGTTTGGCTATGACCTCTCATCTCTCATGAATGCATCTTGGGAGATAAAAACTGTCTTGCAAATAATTAGAAGCTCTGATGTGGGGGTAAATACTTTGCTGATGTCAGAGAAATTGAACTTGGTTTTGTTCCTTTTAAATGACAACAACGTGCAGTATACTAAAAGCTGATTAAAGGTAGCAATGTATCTGTTTCTCCCACCTGTCATACACAAGGATATGGATACAGGAAAAAATGATAGGGGTAAAATGCAGGGTGTCATTACTGCCTGCAGCATGTGTGCACTCTGTAATGCCTTTTTGCAAGCCAGTCACGGACTCCAGAGTCAGTCAGTAATGCCTTAACAACAGAAGTGAGTTGGTACTTAAAGTCATATCTCTCTCTGGCTATGAAGATTCATCAGTTATGCCATATACTCTGTACCATTTCCATGGTGCTATTTGGAGATGGCAGCTGCTGAAGCTGATGAAAGTAAATATAAATGATGACTGCAGTAAAGGGACCCAGATTACTATCTATGCTCCCCCATACTTGTTAATAACAAAATTTTGCTTTCAGAACTGTAAAATCTCAGAAAGCACACTTTCTTGCTATCAAGTGTATGCTGTGGATTTGATGTTTCGTGCATTTGTTCATTGCATTTGACCTACTGACTAGCAAGGTTCTTCTTTAATATTTTTTGGCTGACTCTTGTCACCGATTTTCATTATGTGTGTCACTATTACCACCGTATAATCTGAACATAAAATACATGGTGCTGTAACAAATGACTCCACAGCATTGACAGTTATAGCAGGACCATTTCAAGGCTGATGAAAAATTTCCCAGAGAGATCTCAGGTCAGGTTTACATAAGCTAAACAGGAAATGATTGCCACCATTCACATTAAACCCTAAATGTTTTGTGTAACTTCATCTACATTTTATGTTCCTGCCCGTCTCTCTGTCTCTCTCAGCTGATGAAATTCCACACTTCCTTAGATTAGGGAAATAAGTTCATGTTTCAGTTTGTTGTTCTTGCTAAGCTCTACAAGGTTTTGGGATTTAAAATGTGTTATTTAATAGACAATAAAAAGTTCCTTCAGCTTTTGATTGTTTAAATTTTACATACTTTGTAAATTTTTATGATACCTAGGGGTTTGTTACTGCTTTTTCCCTATGGACTACTAATGGAAGTTAGCCTGTCTAGCCCATGTGCTAGATGCTGTTAGGATAAAACTGCCTTTGACTTTCACACCTCTCAGGGGACGAGTAATTGTTGTGTTCAAACAGCCTGTAATTGTGATCCCGCTGGCTTTCTCAGTACGCTTCTGGCTATTAGAATCATTAAACAACTCAGCACCTGTTAACAGCATTGTAAATATTCAACCCTGCTTGTGTGCAGGTTGAGTCCAATATAGGAGAAGGCTTACAGAGCCCAGCCTCATAAATTAGAGCTTCTGACAAGTCAATTATTGTGAAACTGGGCTTCACTGTGAAATAAATGAAATGGCGTGCTGATAAAAAGGTAGGCTGTCTGTTTATAGCAAAGGGGAACTAATGACTAGATGATTCAATGCAGTGAGCATGAAACTGCATTGTTTTTATTCTTTATCTGTAATTAAATAGTTAGGCAATATTGCTTCATAGAGGAACTCACATATTATGCAGTTTTTATACTTGGAACATACCAACGTGCAGAATTCAACTTGCATTTATTCCTGAGCATTGAAATCTAATGTCATGATACCTCTGTTTTCACTAATAATTTTAACAGTCTTTCAAGATGAATGGCTTTGATTTTTATTAGGGGAAAATGTGCTGAATGACCAAGAAGCTCCTGTGGGTGTGCTCAAAATTATATCTGCCTCATTACAGACAGTAGTTAAAACATACTGGTACCACTTCACTCAAGATTACAAACCATTTAAGATTTTTCTTTACATTGTTTTATTTCCACTAGGCAGCTACATATTCATTCCTTTAACTACAAGTTACAAAGCAGTAAATTTAAAATTCACAAAAAAATTCGAAAGATATTATAAATTCCTCTGTGACGATAACTTCAGTTAACTGCAGTGAAATATTGCAAATTAGGCAGAGAATAATAGCACAAACCTGTTTGATTTGGTGTCTTAAATTACATTCTCAGGAAAGAATTTTAGTGTATTGCCCATGTTCCTTTTTTTTGTTTTATCAGTATTCATCATGAGTGTTATGGTACTGCAAATAAAGGTGCTGAAATTATATGGTGGAAGTCTGAATACCGTGACAACAAAGTGCCTTAATTATAAGCATTTCAGAAGTATTCTATTCAATTTAGAGAACTAATAATGAATCATTAGTGGTTTAGGAGTATAAAATAGAAATTCTTTTTCACCTCCTTAAACAACTTATTTAGCTAATTTGCTCAATTATTTTCAGAAGGTAAACAAAATTTGACAAAATAATTCCTGCTAATAACCAGAAAATAAATGTGATTGGTGATGTCAGGCAAATAAAATGGGCAGGTAGAAATTTTCACCATTTTGTATTATCCCTATATCACTTAGTTTAAAAGGACACTCATGAAATTTAGGTTGCATCAAAACCACTATTAAAATAATTTTTCAACAGATGAGTTTTCTTTGCATGGGGCTGATAATATATGGCTGGCTAGTACATAAAATGTGTAAGTCAATACAAATAGTTTGGTTTGGTTTTGAACAATAGGTGTGTTGGAAGTTTATCAGATCATCTCAGCATGAACCGATATAAAAAGTCACAGAGTTGAATATTCCACTGCCATGTATCTGTGCTTTGTTGTTGTCTCATGTAGCTGGCTGGTATCAGAACACATTTTTTAAAACTTTTTCTTATGATAGTAGTGGTTTACTCCAACTTTACCCAATTATAAGTGAACATTTAAAGCTTCAGAGAATTAATCCCATAATTTGGAGTTAATAGCAAGAGGAAAATATCTGGACATTGCAATACTGCTATTTAGCATTCAGGCTTCTTCAGTTATGCTATGGCTATTTAAAAAGATGTATGGTAAAAACTTTGTTTAGGAAAATAATAATGAAAATCAGATTATGTAAATTAAGCAGTTATGTAAGGACATTAGTAGCTTATAAATTTAATTCCATCTTTTGAAATTTGCAAACAGCAGCATTACAGTAAATGATGTAGAATTTAACTCAGAGAATGGGATTCATCTGCCCAAATATAACATCCACAACTGAACTGGTTGTCTAAAGTTCTCTTTTTCTTTTTTTAATCAGTGATTACATTTCACCTCATTAGTAATGTAGAAGCAGATATTTAAAATACTTCAGATGAATAGTATTCTGCAGGTGCACCTTTCTTTCCAGTGACAGTGAAAAAGTTTTTTTTTCATTTAAAAAAATGAACTCAGGTGCAGCAGTAACTTTGTAAAATTGGCTAAAATGAATCTCAGCATGCTCTTTTGCAGCCTGTTGTTCACCTTCACAAAATAGCATTGAAAGAACCCACTCTCAGTTACAGTGGGGTTATTTCAAGTGGGAATGCTGAGTACAAGATCATAACAATAACAATAGTAAATTTTAGTAAAGCAAGGCAGGTAGAACAAAGGAGCATCTTTCATCATTGCACAATCTCAGTAGTCTATTTCTGTCACAGTATTTGACAGAATTAAATGAGCAACCTTTTTTATTCTGCTTTTTAACAATTCAATAAATAATCAGATTTTATGTTTGTTTTAATTCTGCTTTGAAATTGCATGTTTAATTACTCTGCTTAAATTCAAAATTTTAAAACTTTCTAAGCATGCTCATTACTAATTGAACTTAATTGTTGCTTCCTGATCTGGTGCCTTTGATGAATCTAGGGACACAAGTCCTTACTGCATTTTTATCTGGAGTAAAAGTTCTCACTGAAGTCATGTTGGTTTATATGAGTAAAATCTTATAATACACCTCCAGCTCTACAGTTAAGGAGTGCAAACTTCAGTCACTGTGTCTTTTTTATATGCTAACATAAAAAGAAAATATATTTTGGCCCACTTTATAAGCATTTTCCTTCATACAGAGAACTAAGCCATTTTGATGATATAGCTTACCTAAATATTTTGTCTGATGGTAAGTGTGTGAAGGAACCACATTAACAAATACCCTATTCCTTTTCTTAGCAATTCTAACTTTGAGAATAAAATGTCACAGAAATATAACAACAAAGACCAACATTTGGATTGGTATAAACTTACTTTTTCAGGAGATGTCACTATATGCCTAGTTTTACTTTCAGAGTTGCAGGATGTAAGGACAGTTGCTCTCCTGGGTGGGGGTTCTTCTTTCATCTTAAAGTTAAAATACTGTTACTTGTGTTAGCATTGCTTGTTCAGTTTCACACTTATCAGGAAAGTGTACCTGTGAAAGCAGGAAAATTTTCCCACTAATAAAATAGAGTCAGTCCAGTTTTGTTGGTATCAACCTTTCTATTAATAGATGGACCAATTGCCATCTTTCATATGTACATGCTTGTCTTATGTTGGTTACTCCCACAAACCATTTAAGAATCATGGATTTCTTGTTCATCTTTATAAAGGACTGTATTTAATTGCTTAATATGGATATTTGATGTTTCATGTGTATACGGATATTTGATGTTTCATGTGTATACTGTAGAAGCCTTGTAAGTTTTCCTAGAAGACACTGATGTTAAAAATCTTCAGACTGTAAAAAATATTCATGTAATGCGTCTGCTCTCATTTTATCTAGTTACTATAACTTGGATGATGTGAGCCATGACACTATGAATAAGTACCTCTCAAGCCTTGTTGAGAAATCCCTGTTTGATTTGGAAGGCTCCTACTGTATTGAAGTTGGGGAGGTAAGACTAATCTGTGCCTTACAAGATTCAGTAAGATACACACTCTTAGGGGCTGTGAACAGCAAGATACACACTCCTTGATGGGAGATGTTAGGGCAGGGTTTGTCTTTGTTAGACTTAGGTTGAAAACTCTTGTGGCTAAATTATAATGCTAAATTGTTTTTTGTGTTCTCTCTTAAAAGTAGTCTGAGCATGTTTCACAGTTATGTGGGAGCATGTTATACTGAACCACTTGGGAGCTGTGTGTTTGATTGCTCCTCTCTTGTAACAGGATAATCGCAGCATTGAGCCGCTGACTTACGGCCGTATTGCCTCCTATTACTATCTGAAGCATCCAACTATTGGGATGTTCAAGGATCAGTTGAAACCTGAAAGCAATATTGAAGAATTGCTCTTAATTCTGACAGTAAGTGCTGATATTTCTTAAAAATACTTTTTTTTTTTACTCTTAAAAACACAAGTATTTGAAAAAAACATGCAAAATAAAGAGCCTTTCTTCCCGATCTCTAATTTAATTTTTATTGTTTTGAGAAACATACCTGAATCATTTTTGGTGTTTCAAGTGTTTCATCTTATCAGTACATCAAAATTACACTTCTTTCTGTTCTTACATTCTTTATAATGTGTATGATCTATACAAATCTGATACTTGTCTTTCCTAAGTTGAGTATATTATTAAATGCCATAGGAATGACTGCTTACACTAAATCTGTAGCAGGACCATCAGTTTTTCCTGGGACAATCTGGAAGATACAGCAGCTTTAAGGGGTAGGGGAAACCTGTGGGAAACACCTCTCTCCTATAATGTCTTCTTTCCCTTTTCCCAGCCACTTCCCAGTCCCTGAGGTCATAACCTGCAATAACAACAGCATCTCCCACAGTTAGTCTAGAGGCTGTTTAACAGAGAAGTGCAATGCAAGGCCAAAGACACTGTGTATGATGCACTGTGTTAGTATTACATTCTCATATAAAAGAATTAAGGTTTATTCCATTTTCCTTTTTAAGTACTTACATAGTTACTACTACAGATTTTCTTTTTTCAACATGGTGTAATTCTACTTCTACAAATATATTTTAAAACAAGAAGTGCCTGAATATTATCCAGGAAAACTTATTTCTACCCCTATATGATTGTAGTCTCTTTTACATTAAATACATTATACAAGTGGCCCAAATTCAGTAATATTCTGATTTCTAAGTGTTACCTTCAAAATTTGAAGTCTTGTCTTACAGTATTTATATATCTTACTTTTGTATTAATTCTTGTTTTAGCATGCTGCCAAAACTTCTCTGAAGAGAAATACAGGAAGTTAAAATACTGCTATTCAACAGTTTGTAACTCAGCAAAAGCTGATCAGCATTTTATGAGACTAGGAAAACCACTTTTCTAGTACAGAGACTTTTCTTGCTGATAAATTTAAAGCACCTGCTGCAAACATTCAGAGTGTTACAGCTCAGAAATAAAGGCCACGGTAATCTTTTGTAATGGAAACTGTTAGACAGCCTAAATAGGGGAATTGCTATCACTGACCCTGCAGTATCTGTTGTTCTGCTGCCAGAAAACATTGCAATTACACTAAATGAAATTCAGTGTATTCGGGTGAATTCAAAATGGTAATCATCCACAATACCTAGATATGCTGTATGTAAAATAACTAAAATTTTAAGAACAAATACCCACATGTGAACAGAAGTTAACTAATACAATGTTGAGTATTCAAGAAGAGTGCTTTACTCCAGCTGCTGTCTCTTTAAAATGTCTCTAGTGAAAATTTTCTGCATCTAGACATGTCAGGATTTTTTTTTTCCAACAAATTTGGTAAGGAAAGTTTGAGAATATTAGCAGAGATGGCATTTCATAATACTGCCTTAGCTGATGAGCAGGATATGGAACAGGAATGATGGAAGAACCTAGTGCTGCCTGTTTGAATTTGTCTATTGGAATAGTGTGCATTCATGAATTGCAAAAGTAACTGGCAAATATTCTATTGTAGATGAAACTTAGGACCCTAATGCTGGGTAGAGATTGTAAAATTGTAAGTTCATTAATCTTGCTTTAATTTTTTTAATTTTTTTTTATTTCCTGATAATAAAGTTCTGGAAGTTATCCATTTACAATCTCAAGAGGAATGAGACTAAAAATAAAATTGCTTAGGGGTCAAAATGAGCCATATGTATCAGTTTTAAAGGTGAAAAGGATTTACGAGTGCTGGATGCCATTAGAGCTGACAGCTCTTGCTTACTTTTTATGTGGATGTTGATTCTCATAATTACTAGTGGAACTACTATTCTGTCTTGTTGAAGGTGCAAAATGAAAGGTTTTTTTCAATCTGATGTAGTGTTGAAAAGAAATGCCATTTCAACAGTAACTGCCAGGGATGTTTTTTCCCCCTAAACACTGCGCATTAATGAGTTTTATAATTACAGCAGTTGCTTCACACCTCTATTGTTAACCAATGACATTACATCTGCCTCACTCCACTGCTGCCCTCCTCCTCCTTATTGAAGCATTTAGCGGTTTTGGCAATAGGGAATTGCATGGCATGGGGTAAGTAGTCTAATTAGGTATAAGTGAAAACCCTGAGGGAAAAGGATGTTTAAAAAGTAATTTGAAGAATCTCTTAATGATGCTGAAACTGAAAGCTGTAGCTATAGTACAAAAAGGCCTGTTACCATTGAAAAAATAATTGTAATTGTGATTATTCTGCTGATCACTGTTTTAAATTATATGTTTTCAAATTTTGGACTGTGTTTTTTTAATAATAACCATCCAAGCATTTCTCATGCAGTTGCAGGATTTCATAGATGTAACACTTATTATTAGTTGGAGTTTTAACAAAGCTTGCAAACCTTTAGATATTTACAAGTTTCTGATGTACATAAGGAAGGCAGAAGTGAGCAATTAGAAGAAAGTAAATCCTGATTTTGATTTTTCACATGGGATATATATATACCAAATATGTAATTAACTTGGAGAGTAGCAAAAGTTTGTTTAAAACAAACCGTGGAAAAAAGCAAGATTTTGTTCAAGAATTCAGAAATTTAGTATTGAATTAAAGGGGTTAAGTCTGAGTTTTATAAGGGATTTTGATTTTCAGATTGATATTTTTGCATGCTGAATGGAAGTGTTCAAAATTCAGGGTTGATCACCAGTGAGTGATCATGAATCTTTATAATTCACGTGCAAAAGCAGTTGTGAGTCATCCAGTTTCTAGTGTTGATGGATCTCTCAAAAAAGTCACATAATAGCAGGATTTGTTTTCACTTAGTGGAAGACCACTCCTAGTCTTCTCTAGTATCTGTTCTTTTCTCTGTTTTTATTTTACCTATTAATTTTGATCATCTGCCAGAATTTTACAAGATCAAATGAATTTTTTTCCCATTCTGGTATAGGGGTTGAGTATTCATAACATGAACAGGAGCATGGCACATGGGAACAGCCCAACAGTAATGTTGGAAATATGCAGTAAAAAGTGATTCAGATAGGTGGGCAAAAATCCCCTTCTGTTTTGCCTGCTCTTCTCAGTAACTCTGTACCTGAGATGTTTGAGCTGTCTTGGGTTTGCAGTTAGCAGGTGGAACTTCACATTCAGTTATTTTTGTCACTGGCTTGTGCTAGTAAACTGGTATTTTTTTTCTGAGAGAAAATGTTTGATGTTTTTCCGTAGAGCTTTCTTTAAACCTTTCCTAACCGTGCTTAGGCAGTGGTAATCCAAATGAGCTTAATCACTGTTGAGTTATGGTGCTTATTGCATTAAGTATTATTGATGAGAAAGTGTTCATGAATTATTACTGACAGGCTGGATTTCCCTGAGGTGCCTAAAGACTGTTTCCTTTAATTCTGATAGCTAGGTGCAGAGATTAAAGAAGAGGTCTAGGCAAGAAATGATCAGAGATACTTTAGGGTAATTCTTGTCTTTTTCTGCACAAATGCTTTTAAAATCAACTAGCAGTTTGTTGTACCTTGAGGAAGGAAAGTCTGTCTTTCTGATTGATCAGGGCTGTGACACCTAGATCCACTAGTTTATAATTTTTGGTGATTTTTAACTTATCTTGTTATCTGGTTAATATTTACAGAGCAAAAAATTTGTCATACCTGTCCATACCAGACAGTGAAGGGGAGAACATCATTCCCATCTTTCATCTTTTGTTTTAGCTACACGTTGTTCCTGATTACTTTTTTTTTTCTTCTTTTTTTTTTTTTTAATTCTGCCTATAAAAGAGGACTGGTTGGTTTTCATGCACCTACTGCTGTCTTTCATGTAAACTGTTAATAAGAAAGAGGGAATTTTTCTTAGAAAAGGGACCTTGGAGAGAGAACATGGTATTTTTGTTATAGTGGAGCATCTGTGTCTGTCTTTCTGTGATACAAACATGGACATAGAAGTTTGGTCTCCACATGCCTCTTCCCTTTATTTCTTTCTCAAAATGGATATGGTGACACTGGGTTGTATTAGACTAAGTAATTTGGAACTCAGCAGAAAATCTGTCATTGTTGGAGTCACAGACCTGGAAGGTAGAAGGAGGAAGTTTATGAAACAGGCACTCTCCATTCAAGATACATAGATAGCAAATGAGTAGTTATTAATGCCTTATCTGTCTTTCATTACCTGGTAGGTATTTGTACTATGAGAACCCAGATAACTCAATTAACCTGTAGCTTTATTTCCTCTTCATCATTGTTGGCAATTTCTATTCCAACCAGGGAATATGCAATTCTTTGAGAGTATTTACACTCTCAGTCTAAAATAATTTTATTTCTGTATGGGGATTCTGTTGCTGATTTGGTCTCCTGTGAAGGGGTCACAAAGGTTTTTGACTCAGTGATAAACCATCTTTTCAACAGGTCTCCAGTTAAACACCAGGGAAGGAGGAATTAATGCCTCACAAAAGTACTGTCAGAAAAAGAAGCTGATGTGATCTGTTTCATTTAGTGTTTTCCCTGCAAGCCATAGCAGAAACATTGTTTTTAGGAATTAAGATATTATATTAAACTGGGTCTCTGTTCTTTAGTAATTTCAGAAAAAAATCAGGTCACTCTTCCTAAGTCAGTCAGTGTTTACAGTTAGTGTAAAATTAGATTTGCATTTAATTTAGAAGAAAGTAAAGGTGCTACTATGATTTTCTTCCAGGCATAAAAGCACAGCAAAACTATATTTGTTAAGTTATTCTTTTTGAATATGGCATTTCAGTGTCAATAACTGAAGTATTTTATAATGTAAAATTTATGTCAGATAGAAAGCAATTTATTATATGCTAGCCTTTAAAGAATTTCCATGTCTGATTTCATATCTATGGTACACTCAACAATGTGAACATCAGTGCTGTGGCCTCAGCCATTATTCATATTTTAGTTGTAGACAAAATATTTTTGTATATTTTTAACAGAAGAAAACTGTCACCTCT